AGCCTTGGATTACTGGTCATATGAAACAATGCATACATCTGCTCAGTCACAGACTTAAAAACTAATCCAGTTAATTTGTAAATAGAGGTCATCGTGCTTTTCACAATGCCTTCCTGTTAGTTTTATTTTGGAAATAAGAATTGGACTCGATAAATATGTTCGTTCAAGTTGGCGAATCCTTCGATTTTATAGATTTCTATAGAGTAGTGTAAACTGTAGAAAGAAGATTTGTCACCTAGTAGGAATACGACTTGTTTTGTCAAAAACTTACAACAGTGATGCTGTTGCTCCTGAATGCACATTTAATGTTTAATGACTTCCACATTTAATATCAAATGAGTTCGTTATGACTGATATTACTACAGTTGATACCAAAGAACTTCTAAAATATTAAGTTAAATCATAGAGAATATAACTGTTTGCATAAATGACTGACACCTGGTCAGAGAGAATTAGTAGTCTGTGGCACATCTGGAAACCCTACTAAGAGAGAATGCAGAGATGACGGGCTTTCTAATAATAGAGAAAAGAAGTAGTAGTAAAGTAGTGTTCACATTATTTGGTGAATAGCAATCACATTATTGGAGTGAAATCTGAACTTCATACAGTATTTAATGCCTATATTGTCTAATTAATTGAAGGGACATAATATGACTACTTGCTAAATAATACATATTAATCTTGATAATCATGATGTTAAAGATAGTTTGTTTCTGTTGGGCCTGCTTCGAAGTGTATGCAGTAATTCACACAGTTTGAAAAACTACTCTCTCCATCAGTTTTTCATAGTATTTCCTAATTAGTTCCATCAGTCTTGACTGACAGCTCTAATAGTGAGGTAATAGTGTCTAACTGAGTAAAACTTCTGTGATTCAGAGCCTTTTCAAATTCATTAAAATAAGAAATAAGTTAGTTGACTCTTATTTGTTTCTTTAAACATATGGCATTTGGCTGATTTCTGTTTATTTCTTAATTCCAAAAGGCAAAGGTGCCTACAAAGTTACACTGGTTGTGAAACGTAATTTCCATTCCACAGGAAATTCCGGTGTTTCGAAATCTCCTATCATCCCCAATAATTGGAACAAAAATTTAAAATTTCCCACAAAACTAAAATTCGGAAACATTTTGTTTCAGAAATATCAAAATGACCGTATCGAAGTGTTTCTGTTTAGATTGTTTTCACTTTTATATTGGGTAATGTTGTGTAATATAAATATCAAAAAAGGGCTTCAATTATTATTTTTTTTTAATCAAAATTTTGAGAGTTGATTCAGCATTTTCCAATGGAAGACTGTTCCATTGGGAAACTTTTGTCCAGCTCTCCTATGAAATTCCCTTAAGTTAGGTTCCACTAGTATTTTATTAGCTGCTAATGTAACAGCATTAGCCTTAATGGGGGGAGGGGGTTCACTGTTCAGTAGGATGCAGTACCAGCGGCCTTTTAATTTCAACGTATATTTTTTTTAAATGCAGTTTCTCAGCTGCAGGTAGCACAGCCATTGCTTGCATGAAACTTTTTTAGTTGCAAGTATGGGAAACCTGCTATTTGTGCCTATTCTTGCAGAGTCCAATATCCTTTCTAGGCCCATACTTCCCCATGTTCCGAATATAAAATCAGTTAGTCCTTGTGAAAAGCTGATTTCCCCTTATTGGTTATTCTCAAGAAGCTTTTGTATTGTATTCAGAGAGCTTTTCTAATCTTGCGTGAGATCTTGATTGTACTTTTGTATAAGTAGATGGTCCAAGGCTGGGCCCTGTAAATACATGACAAATAAAGGACCAGCTGAATTTATAATCAGTGTAAATTGGCACAGCTTCATTTAGTTCAGTAGAGCGATACCAATTTTTAAACCATTGCTGATTATTAGAAAAGACATTTGTCTACAAAGAAATCAGGAATTTACATTACACTTCTATGCACCAGGTGGGTCCTGTTTATTTTAGATATGGAAGTTTTTTGATGAAATTCAGTGTTTCTGTTGATGTGGGAAAGGTGTGTAGGGTTTTTGTAGAAAATCTGCATTGTGTTTGGCTAAGTCCGTTCATTGAATTTGTCTGGTGTGGAGTTGTTGCATCAATGGGTTCTATTCTGCTTTTGTGTTTCTGTATTGCAGGTGAAAAATCTTGGGAAATATAAATTCTCTTCCCAGAGTCCTTGGCCTCAGTTACTGATTTTGATGCAGTAAGGACCCCTTGTTGATACCAATATGTTTGTAAACTCACAACTATAGCTTTTGGTGTATTGCTTATCGCCCCTGCAATTCTCTGTGTCCTTTCAATCAGAGGTCTGCTAACATTTAAAGTGTATAATAGCCATGTTTAAAAATATTTGCCTTGATTAGGATTCTCTGCCTTCCAGGAAGCCTTTATATGTACCTCTGTTCCTGAGGCATTCGGCTCTATTTTTCCAGCATTTTTTAGTCTTTCCCCAAATGATGATGCTTTGCAGTACAAACTCCTTGGTTATCTATTGCTACCAGTCTCTCCATGTTCTTATATGGCTTTTGCTATTGTAATAGCTTTGCTATCCTGCATTTCCACTTTACTCTGTAGTTTCTATGACAGATGAGTTAGCAGTAATTCCCCTTCTTCTCCCCCTCTCCCCCAATCTTGGTAGGTGCAGTTTCCTCACTTGGTACATCTACCTTGGTGTGCTAGAAACAGCCACTGCTGCCTTGCTCATTGCATGTTTGCTTCTTTCCTTTGATGTTTGCAATGTTGTTGTAGCTGTGTTGGTCCCAGGATATTAGCGAGATGAGGTGGGTGAGGTAATATCTTCTGTTGGACCAACTTCTGTTGGTGAAAGAGACAAGGTTTTGAGCTAGGAACAGCTCTTCAACAACTGAAGAAGAGCTGTTCCTAGCTCAAAACCTTGTCTCTTTCACCAACAGAATTTGGTCTAATAGAAGATATTACCTCACCCACTTTCTTTTCTTTAAAGCAGTTTTCTGAGTAACATTCATTTTATTTTTCCCCATAAATCAGGCAGGTACGTATTCTTGTTTTGGGGAGTCAGTGAATGTTTGGGTTTTTGTCCTCCCCCTTCCTGCCCCCCAGGATTTTTGCTTTAAAAATTGGAGGGGAATTGGGAGCCACAAATACTCCTGCTAACTCCATTGAGCACATCATATGACCTCTAAAAATTTGTAGTGAATTTTTTGTTTTTGAAAAGTGCTGGATTAAGAGTTCTGGGGACTTCAATCCTCAGAACTCTTAATCCTCCTTGAGCTACAGAACAGAGGCATAGATAATACAATGCAATAGATAATACAACGTAAGCTTTCTTTCTTTCATCTGTCTGCCAGTGATATCACATCTCTGACCTGGAGGGATGAACGATGAGGGTGAGAATGAGTTTCCAAGAGACCTTAGCCTTCCAAATGTGCCAAAATCAATACACTGCCACATGTTCACTGGGAATTGGATTGACTCCTCCTCCTGTACTTCACATGGGCTATTAAATGGCCATCAATTAACTACAATCAGCCACTGCCATCTGGTCTGGATTTAAACTGATAGTGTAGGGTTGAAAGGTTTTATATCCCAGACATAGTTAATATCCTGGGCTATCTTAACTTTGTTTTTAATTGGAAAAAAATCAACATTTGTTGATGTAACTCTAAAATTTTGTTTGGATTGCAATAGTGCCTAGAAGCGTCAGCATGGTAGGACCTGTATGAACATGTAACACAGAAGGGTCCCTGTCCTTAAGAGCTTACAAGTGAACTCATATTTTACAGAATATTAATTTAAAATTAAACTGTCACCTTACATTCCATTACAATATATTGTGGTGAACTTCTCTTCCATTTTTTTGGCTGTCGCTGTATGTTGGGTATGTTTCAAATCCAATTAAAAATTAACACACTGGGCTGAGTTATTAGTCTAGCACAGGGGTCGGCAACGTTCGGCATGCGGCCCGCCAGGGTAAGCACCCTGGCGGGCCAGGCCAGTTTTATTTACCTGCTGATGCGGCAGGTTCGGCCGATCGCGGCCCCCACTGGCCGCGGTTCGCCATCCCGGGCCAATGGGGGCGGCAAGAAGCGGCGCGGGCGAGCGATGTGCTGGCCGCAGCTTCTCGCCGCCCCCATTGGCCCAGGACGGCGAACCGCAGCCAGTGGGGGCCGCGATCGGCCGAACCTGCCACGTCAGCAGGTAAATAAAACTGGCCCGGCCCGCCAGAGTGCTTACCCTGGCGAGCCGTGTGCCGAACGTTGCCGACCCCTGGTCTAGCACAACATGGACATTGGTAATACAGATAGTAAGTAAGTAAGTAAGTAAGTAAGTAATACTAAGTAGGTGTGTCTGAGAATCCCATTTGGTCTTTGACTCCGGAGTCTGTTAGCTCCAGGTGGGACACTGTTTGCCTGAGATGTGGAAAATTGGGGGCAGTACTGGAGATCTGAGTGCCTTCTTCCCTCCAGCAAGTTTGCAAGTACAGTGATTCCCTGCCCATGCCACACCCTTACCTCCCCCCACCCACCCAAAAAGCTACATTGAATATCCACATTGGAATATTTGAGCACCAGTTATACAATTCCATGGGGGGGGGGGGGGAGTGTATGTATATATACTTTAGAGGATTGTTACGATAAAAAACTTAATTGCTGAGTAGGTGGTTTTCCAACAAAAATATGGTTGACCTGGCACAAACAAGGTGCATTAAAATCACCCAAATCGATATGCCTAGGTAGTACGTAACCTAGTATCCGATTTATCATTTCACTGGTGTCTGCGGCACATAAGATCACCTCAACAAAAATAACTTGACTGCTTCTCAGTATGACCTCATTAACCTCGTTATCATTCAACATTCCCATAAACTGTACAGGTGGGTTTAAAAATGTTGTATTCTACAATAGTTATAGAAACTTGGGTATATTTGTCTGTCATCTTTGATTTCCGTTCTCAGTTTCATCCCACCTAACCTGCAATATAATTTACTAACATTTTCTAATTTATGTTATCTAAAACTCTGGAATGTTCTTGCTTATTTTCAGATCTCATCAAAAAGCTAACACAGCAGAAGTTTGGAAATGTGCAGGGCGATTATCAAAAGGTAATTTGTCTACACATAGTAATGGAAGTGCATGTATTCATAATTTAGTTGAAACATTAAGACTCTCTTCCATAAATAGAGAAGAATAATTTAAACTAACAATTGGATATATTATTGACATCTGACAATAACTATTTTCATGGTTTCAAATAAAATACCATGTAAAAATCTTTTTTGAAAAATACTAAGAAAATTTTTGTAAGAAAGTGTTCATGAAATGTATCGAATCTTTTGTGCAAAACTAATATTTGAAGCCAAAATGTTTAGAAACAAAAAAGGGCAGATTTTTACTAGTTATGAACAAGGAATTCCTGCTGGTCTTCAGATAGCAGAATCATTTTCACCCTATAATAATGCTTATTTTTAGCATACACAATGATTGCATGTAAATATTTATTGTAAAATATATATTATTTGTCTTTTTCTATGTATGTTATTTTTTTGATGTCATGGGAGGTCCAAAAACTGACTGAAAATAGGCTTTAAAATAGAATTACTCAGGCAGTCTTAGCAGCAGTTTTCACTAGCAATCCAACTATAAAAATGTGATTGTATCTGTCACACAGAAACTAAGCTCTGGCTTTGTGTTAAGAAAAAGGCTGGTTTCATTTACTACCTCCAGACAGCTGAGTTTCCACATTCTACTGATGATAAAATATTTTTTAGTTTAAAGTGATTACAGAAACATGTTTTCCCTACCTTCTCCCTATGGCATGGTTACCCTAGAATAGTGTACATTTTCAAGATATCCAGCAACAGGGAATACAACCCAATTTGGATGTGCTACTAGTTCTTTTCCTTGAGCCATACTCAAGCACTGTGGTGGGTTGAATTTCTGCAGTAAGGAACTTAACTGGGCCCAGATTGGTGACATGATACTTTGTACCATCTGCTAGGTTATAGGTTACTGGAGCATGCTGTGGATAGTATTGTGTGCGCTCAGGAAGACAAATCTGGTCCCTAGACTCATGCTCACTGACTTGAGGCCTTTCTGGGAAGCCTTTCTAGCCTGATATTCTTTGCCTGGTATCCAGATGCTTGGAACTTGTCCTAAGGCTGTACCAAGTTCCTCCCGATCTCACAAGTTCTTTTTGGAGGGGTTTGTGGTGATGATGCATTAGAGGCTGCAGGGCCAAACAAAACACCTTGCATACATATAAGGAAGCCTAGGGGTTGAATTTCATGGACTGACTGACCCTTTGAACAAGGTCTTTAGATCGTCGGTGACATCCGTAGGTCATTCCCTGCTACTTCAGAAACTGGGATAGAATTCACAGGAAACTTGAAACTACTGTCAGCTGTAATCCTGTGTAGTAAGCCCTCCTAATAAACTAATTTTTAAACTAAACTATTGTCTTAGCCACAGAGGGTGCTAGGACAACTACGATCTCAGGTATGTTAGAACATAAATCACCTTCTGCCAGGATAAACCAAAAATTGACTGGAACCGCGGTAATGTCCCCACAGATACCCAATTGATCATGCTGCCATGATTTTAGGATTTTTTTTTTTTTTTTTTTGTGAGACAGATGAACTTACTTTTTATTTTCTAAATCAATTTTTGGTACCCATTTACAACGAAGAATAAAATTTGTTTTTATGAAAAATATATCCAGTGCCATTGCCACCTTAGATAAATTGTAGCTAAATTTGATGACATGTCTAATAAGAGTTTCATGGAATTTATGGCGGTACATATAATAAATATCCATATCTCACAGTTTGGGTAGATGGGCATCTTAATTGGAGCTGGAACAGAAACAGGTTTCCCATCCCACAAAACTTTTTGAGATTTTGAAAATTTTCCTGTTCCACAATGGGAAGAAATAGAGACCTTTGCAGTTTTTTCATGAAAACCAGAGAGAGACCCTCCTCCGAATGGCCAATATAACTTGGTGGTCAGGGCTTTGGAGTGGGATGTGGGAGAATGACAGGGTAGGGGCTAGGACTGTCTGCTCTGTTAAACAATAATAGAATACCATTTAAATATTTTTGATGTCTTCTACATTTTCAAATATATTTATTTCAATTACAAAATAGAATACAAAGTGTACAGTGCTCACTTATTTTTTATTACAAATATTTGCACTGTAAAAAAAATAAGACATAAGTATTTTTCAATTAACCTAATACAAGTACTGTAGTGCAATCTCTTTATCATGAAAGTTGAACTTAAAAATGTAGAATTATGTACAAAAAATAACTGCACTCAAAAACAAAACAATGTAAAACTTTAGAGTCTACAAGTCCACTCAGTCCTACTTCTTCAGCCAATCACCTAAGACAAATACTTTTGTTTACATTTGCAGGAGATAATACTGCCCGCTTACTTTCAGGTGACGTAAACAAGAACAGGCATTCGCATGGTACTGTTATAACCGGCTTCGCAAGATATTTATGTGCCAGATGCACTAAAGATTCATGTGTCCCTTCATGCTTCAACCACAAGTCCGGAGGACATGAGTCCATGCTGATGATGGGTTCTGCTTGATAACAGTCTAAAGCAGTACAGACTGCATGTTCATTTTCATCGTCTGAGTCAGATGCCACCAGCAGAAGGTTGATTTTCTTTTTTGGTGCTTTGGGTTCTGTAGTTTCTGCATCAGAGTGTTGCTCTTTTCAGGCCTGCACAACTCGTAAAGCGGCGAGTGCCATATTACTCCAAAGAAAACAGCTGAGGGCCGAAACCCTCCGAACGCCGACAACCCCCCCCCCCCCGCGCCACCCCCCCCCCCCCAACCCCCCCCCCAGCGCCGCCAAAACACGCCCCCTCCTCCTCCCCCCGCCCGCGCCGCCTGCCCTGCGGGGAAAAAACCCTTCTTCCCCAGCACCGCCACACCGAAACAGCAGTATTGAACCTCGGAAATATGTTATAGCGGGCCCCTAAGGTAGTATAATTAAGGTAAAAGAAAAATGTCTTTTTGCTAGAAGTAGAATAAGATCTTCCCCCCTCTTTTTGTAATCAATTGCCCTGTTGAATGAATGAGGTGTGAATGAGGAAGGCATGGAAGGCAGGCACCTCCAGACAGCTGAAACCCTTGGAGAGGGCAGGGCCAGCTCTAGGATTTTTGCCGCCCGAAGCAAAAAAAATTTTGGCTGCCTCCCCTTTCTTTTTCATGCCCCTCTGCCCCCAGCTCCACCCCTTCCCCAAATCCCCAGCACTGCCTCCTCCCCTGGCGTGCCGCATTTCTCCCCCTCCATTACTTCCTGTGGGCCCCCCGTGACCTCCTGCCCTAGCTCACCTCCACTCCGCCTGCTCCCCCGGGCGTGCCGCCGCTCCGCTTCTCCCCCTTCCCTCTCAGGCGAGGGAGGGCGGAGAAGCGGAGCAGCGGCGCGTTCAGGGGAGCAGGCAGAGCAGAGGTGAGCTAGGGTGGGGGGGGGCACAGGAAGTAATGGGGGGGTAGAGGAACCACTCCCCGCTCCAGCTCACCTCCGCTCCACCACCACCGTCTCCCCTGAGCGCCCGCCGCTCGGCTTCTCCTCCCTCCCAGCCTTGCTGCACGAAATAGTGGTTTCGCACATGGCAAGCCTGGGAGGGAGGGGGGAGAAGTGGAGCAGCGGCATGTTCAGGGGAGCAGGCAGAGCAGAGGTGAGGTAGGGTGGGGGGGCGCAGGAAGTAACGGGGGGGTAGAGGAACCACTCCCCGCTCCAGCTCACCTCCTTCTCCTCCCTCCCAGCCTTGCTGCGTGAAACAGCTGTTTCGCGCGCAGCAAGCCTGGGAGGGAGGAGGGAGAAGCGCGGCAGCGGTGGTGCGCTCAGGGGAGCAGGCACAGGCGAGCTGGGGCAGCGAGGGCACTTTTTCTCCATGCCCCAGAGTCGGCACCTATGATGGCCGGCACCAGAATGCCGCCTCTAGAAATGTGCCGCCCCAAGCACCTGCTTGTTTTGCTGGTGCCTGGAGCCGGCCCTGGGAGAGGGGATGGGAGCCAGAGCAGATCAGTAGAACAGGTCAGCCACCTACTCGCCTCCTCAGCCCCCCTCCCTCGGCTCACCTACTCACCCCCCCGCCACTGTCTGCTCGCTCGTCTCCTCAGCCCTCCGGCTTGCCGGCTCACCTGGCCCCCCGCCACTGCCCGCCCACTCGCCTCCTCAGCCCCCCCTCCCCCGCCACCGGCTCACCTGCCCCCCCTGCCACTGTCTCCTCAGCCCTCCACCCACCCGGCTCGCCTACTCATTCCTCGCCACTGCCCGCCCGCTCGCCTACTCAGCCCCTCTCCCTCACCCACCACTTGCCTACTCACCCCCCCGCACACAGGCCGCACAGTGAGCCCCCGCGGGCCACATGTGGCCCCCGGGCTGCATGTTGTGCAGGCCTTTTTAAGACTTCTGAAAGCGTACTCCACACCCTGTCCCTCTCAGATTTTGGAAGGCACTTCAGATTCTTAAATGTTGGGTCAAGTTAGAAATCTCACATTGGTACCTTCTTTGCGTTTTGTCAAATCTGCAGTGAAAGTGTTCTTAAAACAAAGAACATGTGCTGGGTAAATTCTGCCCCCAGGAATTCAGTCACAAATTTAATTCATTATTATTTTTTTAACAAGCATCATCAGCATGGAAGCATGTCCTCTGGAATGGTGGCCGAAGAATGAAGGGGCATATGAATGTTTAGCATATCTGGCACGTATACCTTGCATTGCCAGCTACAAAAGTGCTTGTCTTAATGATTGGCTGAACAAGAAGTAGAACTGAGTGGACTTGTAGTCTCTAAAGTTTTGCATTTTGTTTTTGAGTGCAGTTATGTAACAAAAAAAAATCTACATTTGTAAGTTGCACTTTCGCAATAGATTGCACTACAGTACTTGTATGAGGTGAATTGAAAATATTGATTACAAATATTTGCACTGTAAAAATGATGATCAAAATAATATAAAGTGAGCACTGTACACTTTGTATTCTGCATTGCAATTGAAATATATTTGAAAATGTAGAAAAAATCCAAAAATATTTAATAAATTTCAATTGGTATTCTATTGTTTAACAGTGCGATTAAAACAGCAATTAATCGCGATAATTTTTTTAATCGTGATTACTGTTTTTGAGTTAATCACGTGCGTTAACTGCGATTAATCGACAACCCTAGTAGGGACTTGAACTTGGGTCTCCCACATCTCCGGTGTGCATCCTAAACACTCATCTGTTGCTTATTCTGGGGTGGGTGTCTCTCTCAACCTGAGAAACCTCTCATCAAATCCGGACAGCTCTATAAAGTTTCTGTTCTGATGAACTGGCATTTCTGATGCAAAAATTTTAAGTATAGTGTCAGGAATTTTTCAAGTCTTTGGGTGGTTTGGAAATGTTTTCTTTTCAATGACTTTTGCACTTTCAATATAGCAACTCACAACTGATGAGTTGCTATTATTTTCTAACTTAGGAGGAAAAGAGGAAACCCCTGTTGGGTATGAATTGCCATATGAAGATGCAGAAAAACAATTAATATTAAGAAATTCTTTGTTTAATCTGTGCATAAGCTCTGAAAACAAGAGGGAAGAGCGTAGCTTCTTAAACTCCCATGACTGAATTTCCCCCCCTGTTTTCTCAAAAGGCAAATGGGGTAGCAGAAACGCTTATGAACCTGTTAAATTAGATTTCTCCCTTCAGTCTCTCTCTTCCCCCCCCCCCTTTCCACTTTTGTAGGTTTTAAGTTTCCTACAGACTTTTTAAAGTGCAGATGAACTTTCTGTATAATGTGCCAAGGCACGGAAACTGCTATTGGAACTGCTTCTCCCAATGCCAAAACAATTTGTAAATTCAAAAAGCAAAAATATAGGGGAACAGCTCTGACAGCTGGAATTCTTTGAGAAACTGCACACTAATACAATATCTGACCCTCCTCTTCCTGAAATATCTTGGGAAATATAACTGATGATGGTCCATACAAAAATAACTGGTCTGTTTTCATTTTAAGACTGAGAGCTATTTATGGTGGATAAAGAAACCCTGAATCCTTTTAATTTACCAAGGCAATCAGAAATCCTCTACTACATAATATATTTTCTTTAAATAATTAATTTGGCTTAATTATTTACTGCTTCTATGCAATTTTTTTAGTGGCTTTTATTTTTTTATTTGGGGTATTTAATTGTTTCAATTACAGTTAATTATTCATTACTCACATGATTTGTTTTTGTGCATGCTGCCTGTGCATTATACACATTCTCCATCTGCTTTGACTTCCACAGCCAGAAAATGTTGTCCTGACTCTTCAGGTAATAATGCCTTCCATTGTATCTGGTAGATGTGCTCTGTGTCTTGGTTTTTTTTTTTTTTTTTTCAAAACTAGCAGGGATTATATTCACTACTCCTGTCAAAACATGCATTACTATTTTTCATGTCATTCTAAATGAAGGTGTTGATGTTTTTCATCTAAGCCACTTTTGATTTGGTTATGTTCCAGATTGTTCAGGTAACCTACTAAAACATATTTCTATTCATTTTTAGTTACTTTGTAATCTTTTCTGATTTTCTTTTTAACAAATTTTGGCTTTAACAAGATTTGACTTGTAAAATCCAACCAAAATTATCTTCCAGAACATTAGTTGTTCTTATTCAGAAAGCAAGAGTAGCAGTTCTAAACCATCACTAGTCTCCTATTTATTCTAGGATTGGCAATTAGGTCAGAGATTGCAACCATGTTAATGATAATGGGTTACTATTGACACTGCATGTGGAGCAATTTTCCCCCCCCAAGGACTGGTGGGATTGGAGGCAGATTCAGTATGACTAGAACTGAAGTATGATGATGGATAGCTAGTGAGAAATTATGACTTGTAACTGGTATTCGGCGAAAATACAACATGAATTCCATCTTGTTACTGCCAAGATACTGCTGCTTACAGATTGTATACAAGAGATAGAGGATGAGCCAAAGTAGTAAGTCTTTAATAATTATAGTACCCTTAAAGTTAACACAGACTTTTCCAAGTGACTTTAATAGCCTTTTAGGACAGGGCTTCTCAGCCCATGGGTCAGGACCCAATTTCGGGTTGCCAGAATGTTTCGGAGGTCGTGTGGCAGTTCCTGTGGCTCCTGTGTCACAGGGCTGGCTGGGCTCGCCTTCCTGCTCCAGGCACTGCAAACTCTGGAGTCCCAGCGCCACTCAGGTTTGGCCCAGCCGTCATGCTAATGGGAGTCCGGGTAGGCCAAATCTGAGTGAGTGGCACTGCAACTCCGTGAGCCACGTCACAACTCCACTTACACAAATTTGGTCCAGTCAGGGGAATGAGGCCAAAACTGAGTGGCGCTGCAACCCTGGAGGTTGCAACGCCCAAAATGGAGAGCCAAGCCCGGCTAGCCCCACAGCACAGGAGCTGCCACTGAGGTGAGTGCCGGGCAGGGCCCAAGACCCCAGGAGGCAGTACCCCTCCAAAACCACCCCAGGGCCTTCGCCCCCAAACTATTTACTGGGTTGTGACAGGCCATAAACATTTACAAATGGATCCTGAGCCCCAAAAGGTTGAGAACCACTGTTTAGGGTATGTCTACACAACATAGAAAAACCTGTGTCTGGCCTCCCTGGGAGGGTCCCAGAGTTGGGCTCCAGCCTGAGACCGGTAGTCTACACAACAATGGTACAGTCCTGCAGCCCAAGTCAGCTGGCGTGGGCCAGTTGCAGATTTTTCTTTGCTTTGTAGACATAGCCTTATCAGGAGGTTTGCAAAGGCACCAAGGACAGTTAAGTATCCATCTCACTGATTAAAAGGGAGTTGGGTTCCCAGCTGCCTTTTGTGCCTTTGAAAAATCTCTCCTTTAATTGCTGTTAGTTTGTTGCCAACTGAGCATAGCAATGTACATGACACAGAGATCAAGAGTCTCCGCCCTACAGAGCTTAAAATCCATCCCTTGATGTTTTTTGTCTTTCAGCTATTTTTACATTTTGTTTTGAAGAGGGTACAGTCCTTCATCATTTAATATTTCTCTTCAGTTTTCATAATCAGGACTTCTGCTCATAACATAAATCTGTTTTTTAAGAACAAAAACAAATAATTTCCCACCACAGTATAGTATGTTGGTATATTTAGGGTTGCTGATATTCTCAAATAGTTTTTTGGAACAGCTATGAGAGACAGATCAAACTGTGGGCCTGCTAATCAAATGTACCCATTTTTAATCCGTTATAATGCAAGTTGCATCAATATCATGAGCATGTTTACTTGTTAAATATGCTGCTTAAACTACTTTTTGATAGGTTAGTTGTCAACATTTACAATGTTTTTATCTGTTTGAGATGGAAAAGTTGTTAGATATGTATTGATGACTTAGAAAACATTGATTACAAAGACTACAGTAACTAGTGGATCTTGTAGCTTTAATTTCATTTTTAAGCAGTGGCTGTATATGAATCTCAACAACTATATAATATCTGCTGTTACAGTTATTTTTGTCTGCATTGCAGGCAATCTACTATGAAATCGGCTTTATAGTGCCTGCTGCTTTGGGATTGCTATTTGTTCTGTTACTGCCTCTTGTGGGACTGTGCTTCTGTATGTGTCGTTGCTGTGACAACTGTGGTGGGGAAATGCACCAAAGACAGAAGAAAAATGCTGACTGTCGGAGAGGCTGCTTTGCAACATTTCTTTTTGTTGCTTCTTTAATTATCAGGCAAGTATAATAAATTGCACAATGCTCATTTTGCACAATACTAATATTGCATTACTGTACAACAAGGAATATTAAGTCTAGTTTATCATCTGTAGAAGCTGAAATGATTTTATTAGGCTGAAAATAATATATTTACTTTTACTCAGAAAAGATATTTTACAAAGGCATTACAGTAGTGCTAATATGGTTAATGTCATGTTAATGAATGAACCCACTTTTTGAGGGGTTTAAGATGTGAAACATCGTTATGTTGGAATTTGGCATATGAGCCTTTTTCCAGGGAGATCACTTCTTGTTTTTGTTTTTAAATCAAATTATCCAAATGGCCATTTAAGGTTGCTAATTCACGAACAAAAGATTATCTGTCTTGTGCTCCGATGCCATCCCATTGAGAAGAGGTGTTAGGATGCAACACTTTTTAACACATTTTGATAATAGTCAAGTGGTGGTCAGAAGTGATTGTGTTTGTCCTTCAAATTTTCTTAAGTCAAAATAAGAATTTTCTAAATGGCAGCATGTAAGCCCATGCTGGTTTGTATGAATCTGGAATATTCATACATAATCACTGCTGATAAAGATTCTAAAATCAGAAATTGACTGGCAGTGTTCCCCATGAGTGAAAACTATCTCTGCCCTTCCATTGATATGCAACAATGGTGAGAGTATTAAAACCTTGTTTTAGTAAACTAATCAGAGTTGAGTGGAAAGATTCATGGAAAGCAAAAAAGTGCAAAGTTTTAAAAAAAAGTTCTACAGATCATTTTTCTAACAGTAGACTACACTTTACAAGTACTTTCCTCCATGAGATGCAAGTGGCTCTGCAGTTTTTGGTCCATAAATATGCCTTTATTCAGCTTAATAAGCTTCAGACTAGTCTCTTCTTGTAGACATATTGTATTTTCTCAAACAAATGAAATATTTTGTATTTGACTAAAAACCAGGGGAGAAAATGTTCTAAAGCCAGAAGTATGTCCAGCTACATTTCTGTTGAGAGGTGGTGGTCACACAAAACACCTCTCAAAATCCATGGATCCTATACATGCCTATCACAACGTGGTATATTTCGTCCAGTGCACTAAATGCCCCACGAACAACAATGTGGGTGAACCCAGGCAATCACTATGCTCTCGAATGAACTGTCACAGGAAAATGATGAGACACAAAAACCCTGTCACCTTTGGGTGACCACTTTTCATAAAGCGATAACTCTGTCTGACCTATTAGTTCTCATTCTCAAAGGAAACATGCACAACACTTTCAAAAGACGAGCCTGGGAGCTTAAATGCATTACTCTACTAGAAACTAAAACTCATGGACTGAACAGAGATATGGGATTTTATAGCTTAGTCCAACAATCTGTAACCCACTGTTAACAGGCCACTCTACCATGAATGGTCCCTTGCAGTTTATGCTGACTAGTTTATGCTAAACAATCTGTTCCACCTTGGATTTTGTTGTCATGCTGGAAGTACCTTTCCCAGACCTGAAGAAGAGCTCTGTGTGACTCTAAAGCTTCTCTCTCACCAACAGAAGTTGGTCCAATAAAATATTTTACTTCACCCTCCTTGTGTCTCTGGTTACATTTCTGGCAGCTGGGAGTTTGGATATGTGAATATTGTGGTTATAGAGCAGGAGCTATTGTTAATGAGCACAGATATACCTTTGAATTTGAGCATATTTTATATAGATTGAATTGAGATGGCTACAACTTACGGTATGTATCACTCCAAAAGTGATGTGCTCCTACTCAAATATTTACTGCTCTCTTTGGGACAAAGATATTTTATATTTTATTTATTCCAAAGTCATCAGCAAGCTGGGACACTCACTCACATGTGTGCGCGGTAGAAGAAATGTCATTTCCTTAATCTCTTTGCAATGTATCAGAAAGGTTAGCTGGGTGGGTGTGTTTAAATGCTTATTATAATACTAAAATTAATCCTGTTTACAGAAAATGTCTTCCCTTTTTTGGTGGGAAAACCACATGAGTTTTTGATCCTTCTGTGTTGAGTCATATTTTTTTTTTAATTTTTTTGGATATTAAGTGCCTATTCAGAAATGTAGATCCTAAAGTACATAGGTTATATCTGTTATGTGGACAAGTGCCTTATTCAAGTATCAAGGAAGAACATCTGCCTTCATGTAATTGGTAATGCAGATAGTTCAGAATCTGGGATTCAACATGAATCAGAAGAATTGACAAATGGGTTCATAAAGAAAACTCTGACCCAACATTTTATTTTTGTATTATTGTGGAGGAGAACTTTTTCTTTAGTACTTTTTCTTTAAATCTGTTTAATATTAATTTTCTGTGACTTGAACCTTTTGCAAGTAAAACAGTCCCCAACTGGATTGATGGTGTTTGCATCCATTTATGAAATCTCACAAACTGAAACCGAAATATCTGACTTTCGGGGACACTAGTTAAACAGATATACACCACTCCAGTCTGTTATGGGAAAGGCAAGTCTTGTGTCATGTCTTCTCCTTTTCTCTCTTCCTTTATTTGGTGATTTGTCAAAGCTCATTAGGTAGTAAGTAGAGTTTTTCCCTTTCATGTCGTGTATCTGTTTAGAACAGGTGAATGTTTGACTGCATAGTCTGTTTAAAGATTCCCGTCTCTCCCCCACCCTCCTCTCAGAAAGCTAAAGAGAAAAAGATCACATTCGAATTTACAAAGTACCTTTTTTTTGTTGAGTTGCAATTGCTGACCTCTTTGCTTTGTGAGAAGAATACACTAAGGATATAAAAACAACCCCTTCAAAGAACAAAGATGTCATTGTAAACTCAGTCATGTGAGTTACACACTAATACTGTACTTTACATTTGAATGACAGTTATGAGACATTTTTCTTTTTCAGTTGGTCAAAAGAAAGCAGCTAATCAGTTTTCTTTCACTGGGAAAATGATATTCAGAATCATTGTTCTCCTTGTAGATGTGAAAGAAACAATGTATACGTTTGCCAGAAATGCAGCTGCCTTATTTTGAATGTCACCTTTTAAAGATGCTTAATATATTTATCAGATCTGTTTGGGGTTTTTTTAAATGGTTTGGTGGAGACACACGTCTCTGCTTGAGCGTTGACAAATGTGACTAGGAAAGATTTTCAGGGAGCGGTGGGCTGCAAATGGAATTGAACCCATGACCTTTCAGTTAGTAAAGACAAGTGAGATGATGCTGGTGCCACTGTTGCTAACCCATGCTGCCATATCTTCATTACTTTTGTCGCCAGCGTTTGCTAGGTCAAAGCTAGCATGGTTATGCCTACCCACGCTACAATTACACCTTTAATTTTCCGTGTAGACAGCCCTCAGTTACCATCAGTGGCTCCCCATGAGAAGGCTGGACACTAGCATCTTTTAAGGAAGCAATTGTTAAACCTTTGATTAAGAAATTATCTCTTGATGTTGAACTCTCCAGTTGTCATCCTGTCCCAAATCCTTCTTTCTGCGAGGTGAAGGTTAGTGATGCAATTCTAATAGAACAAATCTAGCAGCATCTAGAGTATCTATTTACATCTTGTGGTACAGTAATAAACATCTCCAAAATCTGACCTCTTCTCTCTGCCCATGCGGCTAAGATTCTTGTGCATTGCTTCTTTTTCTTTCTTTCAGAGCCCTTCCCACTATATCCCTGCTCTATTACCTTTGTTGCAAGGTTGGCTCCTCTCTTCGCTCTGCCAACAATGCCTGCCTTGATTATCTGATTCTTCACGCCTCTGACAAGCAACTTTCCTACTTTGTCCCTTGCCACCCCTTATATATGGGAAAAACTTTTTTTAATATAAAAAAACTGCTGTCCAATACTGTCTCTCCTCAAAACTGAACTCAAATGTAACAAATACAGAAAATTGCAACATGAGAATGGCTAATCAGATGGCAAGTTGTGCTCCTGATTTGCTAAGAATTGTGCATGTCTTATTATTTGTTACCCTTCCACCCCACCAGATATGCTTGTCTCCTCTACCTGTTATATCATGTGTTCCCTAGATTATGAATTCTAGAGTCACAACGGTTATTTACCATGTACCTAACACAATAGGGCCCTCAACGTGGCTGGCTTCTAGGCACTACTTTAAAATAAATGATTTAATAGTAGTATGAAGTGCTCAGGTCTCTTTGACCCCAGTTGTAAGAGCCAGTATCATTTGTGTTAGTGATCTTCTAGCATGATCCCATTACATGGTGTTCTTTATATCCCTTTGATATTGCTAGCCTCAAACTGGTTTACTGCAACGCAAACTGCATGAGGTTACACCTTAAGACCATCCAGAAATTGCAGATAGTGAAGGCAACTGCCTGCCTTCTTAAGCAACATTTCCCATAGAGGGGCATGTTACACCCATGGTCTGATCTGCTACCAGGTAATATCCGTCTGAAATTTAAGGTTTTAATTTTTAACCTGCAAAGTGGGTTTCTTCTCTGCCTACCATAGAGACGGTCTCTCTTGACTCCACTGTTGCATTCCCACCTGAGCTTCAGAGTGCGGCTCTTAGTCTACAATAGCAGAGATCTATACTTAAAAGGAGCAGAATAGGGTTTAAGTAATTACAGGGATTTTTTTAAGTGCGTCTCACTTTGGCAACTGATAAAAGTAGTTCCATGTGGAAAGAGAGTGAACAAAGAATGAAATATTTTATAGTCTAAGATAACTCTCTCAAGCTTGTCATGGGCTTTTAGTTACCGTATTTTACTGTATATACAGATCTATTCTGTTGAAGATAGAATGGTGCAATCATAATGGCCAAACTGGGAAAATAATCATCAAACGCACTGATTGAAACTCCCATCTGCCTCCCATCTTTCATGTTATTAATTTATGTTTTATATATTTCGCCCTATGGCCGGAGTTCTTACAACTCTGTGGGCATCCTTTAATTTTAAGTCATTGAAGTTAATTAGACTATGTGCTGTTAAGTACATGTAAAGTTTTGGAAGATTGGGACCATAGTGAAAAAATTAGCAGTGGAAGTAATTCTAACTTAAAAACATGTTTCATGTATAATTCCTTTTAATAAGTTATTTTACCAACTGTTTTCTTGTAGATGTGTCAAACTAATGATTACTCGTGAAAAGGAATGTTAGCCTTCATAAATCATGGTGGTTTTTTTTTTTTAAATAACCAAGTATGCATAGTATTAGTATATCTTGTATACATTTTGTAAATTTTTGACAACTGCAGTGCTGCAAATGTGTCTTGCTATTGTGTGTTCCTTTTGAAGGCTTTTGAGTTAACTTGATTTCTTTATTAAACATATAGAAAATTAGTGATATATCAAATCTTCTAGCTAATTCCTCAGTGCCACCTAGTGGTTAAAAATGAAATTTATAGTAAAAGGAGACATTAATTTGTCTGCAGGGACTCCATTACCCAGATAAATGTTGATTGCTTTGCTATGTTTTTTGTTCTTAATTGGCAGAATGGGTATTTGCAGTAGTAAAGTAATATCTCTTATCTTTCTGTTTATAGTATTGGTGTCCTTTGTGCTTATGCTGCCAACCAGCACTTAACAAGTCAAGTCCGGGGAGCAAAGAACCTGGTGCACAGTAATTTTAAAGACCTGAGAATTTTCCTCAATAACACTCCAGGGGTAAAGAGATGCTTTCTTTATATATGTGGTTGTATATGTAAGAAAAGTATTCTAGAAAATAGTTTCTTTCTATTTGGTATTAGTGATGCATGCAACACACCGTGTTTTCTTTATGGGTGCCCATCTATTGCGCTGGTTGCCAATCGCATAAAATATAACACACAATACAATAAAAGATAAAGGACTTCTCATACGTTAATAAATATCCGCCAGTTATTCTTGTGGACCAGCATTCTTCGAACAAATAAGGGGCTCTGCAGTAATGTGACACTCCTTTGCCTTTTTTCTGTTGCTGCACTGTGCATTGCCAAAGAGGTAATTTTTTTTAAGGGAAATAACCTCCTGTTTTTGGCAATTCTTATAAAAGTATGCATGGGCATCAGTGCCATACATCCATTTTCTTTATGCCAATATCCTCTGGAGTGAACGGTAGCCTTTTCTGTTTTTGTTGAACACCTTTTATGCTTTTTAATGCATATATTGAGGCATACCAAATGTGAATTAGTGTCCTTAATGGCTTCACACTTCCTTTTACGTTGCAAAGAGTCCTCCAAATACTTCTGTGACTTTCTCCAATGAAAGATTAATTCCTATTAGAGAACTTTATATGATAGCTTTTCCCTTCTGTGTTGTTGGATGTTTAATTCGTTACAAGTTGAAAAACCACACTATTTAAAAACCACGCGGAAAGCAAACAAATATCCCACTTCTTACTGGTAGCTAAAATTTTGACAGAGCCAGTTCAGACAATACTGTCACATGACAACCCTCTGCATTGGTCGTCATAATCCCACTCTATCATAGAGTATGAACTGCTTTTCTTTCGATTGAGGGCTTTGTAATGATGATCTGGGAGTCTGGGAATTCAGGATGTCTTCTGCAACATTGCAGCCTGGGCTGGAGTATATTGTTGTTTGAAGGGAAATCTCCATCCACCACTTCCTTAATTCTCTCCACATCTGGGCATATTATTCCCTTTTGCCTCCAGCACATATGTATGTAGATACAATGTCGTGGCAGAGCCCTTTGGGGTAGATGTGGGGAAGGAAACATGAGGTCACATAATGAACATTTGGTTTTCAGTATGAAGTGCTTTTCATAAATCTACAATCATTTTGAGCTGGCTCAGGGCGTTGAAGTGAACCTGACATTGGTGGTTGTGACCCAGTTATACTAAGAATTCTTCCAACCCTCCCCACTCCTTTGCATCAGCCGCAGCTGGGTGCTTACAGTAGGAAATGTCAGAATATAAAATCTGCCCTGTTTCCTTCAGCTATCGTGATGTGTATATACGAAATATCTAAAAAGCTAATGACTCCTAAAAGTACTTCTGCACCAAGTTAAAATAAGTACAGGGTATTATTGACAGAATGCTCATGGAAACTGCAGAAACTCCTCAAAGCCTCAGTTATGTATTGTTTTCCAGTTCTTACCTAGGTTTATTAGTTCTTTCTCTCTATAATTAACTAAATGTTATCTATAGTCTAGTCTATTCTATCATATGCGACTCTTCTTAATATGTTGCTTTGTTATGCAAGGCATCTTTACATCATGTACTTATGTGCCTCTAATCAAATCCCAGAAATTCTTGAGACTAATAGGAAGGCTCTTAGGTTTTGTTGACAGTGGTATAGAATCCATCTGATAGATTGTAGATTGCAGACAGACTTCTGAAGTACTAACTTAACACGTCCAATCAGCATTAGGTGCAGAATATATAGAGGATTTGAAGAAGATGTCAAGTGCTCAGGGCTGTTGTCATAGAAGATTTGCAGACTATATAAGTTTTGCATTATCAACAGCACGCTTCAGTGCAATTGACAGTCTGTCTATTAAGGACATCAACTCATACACCAGTCCCCTAGGTTATCTATACTTGTTTTGCTAGTCATTCTAAATCTCACTTTGTTTTGTGATGTTGTTTGGGAATTCATAGCAGTCCTGCTAAGAACTGATTAAATTAGTTTCTTCTGCAGACTCCAGAGCCTAGAAAACTATGGTATGTTGATAAGAGAGGCAAAAACATAATCTAAGTCAGGCACAAAATGTTTCATATGCTGCATATGTTGATTTCATCCATTTAATCACTGCTGCTTTTGTGACACGTTGGATTTACCGCACTGAATACTTGAAGATGCAAGCCAAATAAAAATACAAACCAAACAAAAACTGATTAACAAAAGACCTTGTCATCATAATAATGCTGCTCTCTGGGATAGTGCAGAGCCCAAACTGTCACTGGACAGAACCATGGAATTGGTAAAGGGCACAGTCTGCAATTGGAAAAGGACAGCCACCTCCCTTCCTGTGACCAGCAATGGAAGTGCCTGCAAGCTGCCTAGCATGTTAAGGGAAAACAAAGGAATAAAAAGTGGTGAAGCAGTTCAGACACTTTCTGCATATATCGCAGTGAAGGAGGGACTAAATATTGTTAGATGACCAGAGGGATAGAACTAGCATGAAACAGAGATACACAAGACCCTCGTCATACTGGATCGCTTGAAGGAATCCTCATGAAGCAGCAACTGCTGCTATTAATTATCATTGGGGTTTAAAACTGCTCCCTAGGAGACTTCCCAATTAAGCATCTCACGATTGAAGAGAATTGTACTGTACATTGTTGAAAGTATTAATGGTAGAGTTCAACAGTTTTGGGGTTTTGCAGATAAATATGTATGTGTGGGGTGGTTACTGTTTCTTGACTAAAAATATTTTTTTTAAACTTTTAGCAAATTGACTACTTGGTGAGCCAATATAACACTACCAAGAACAAAGCACTCTCCGACCTTAATAGTAAGCAATCAAAGTTTTTATTAGCTATGTCTGTGTTATGTTATGTGTGTATTCAGTGAAGAGTTCACTGAAGAGCTCGTGAATGACTTCTAACAGAATACGAAAGTCAAGTTGTTATAACCAGAATCCCAAGCAAATCAATAAAACAAAAATATAATTCTTCATGAAAAATGTCACACGTGGCACGATATAAATTTTTCTAAAAAATAAACTCCATTCTTCATTAAATGACTTTCACTTTAAGTCAAAGACTAATAATTTTTGCCTTTTTGAGTTCAGTAATCACTGGTGGTTTCAGAGGAAGCATTTCTTAATTTATAAAGGACTGGGTGCCAAGTGACATGGCTCCTGGCTGGAATTCAGATTGTGTTTGAGCTTAGTCAAGTCCAGTGCTGTGTTTCAGTGTTCTTGGCATTATAATAGACACATAGACATGTTGAGATATAAGTTTACTGATGATTGTAAAACTCTTTCAGATATTTGGCTGGAGCAAGAGAGAATTATTGAGAGCAATTATTTTATAACTAGCACTTGAAAAGCACAGATCATGAAACTTAAAGCAGTTGCTGCGTTTTCCTCTGCAGAACAGTTATGGCACTTGGTGACATTTCTGAAGCTTTTAATTTAAAAAAAAAAAAAAAAAAGGCCAAATTGTGGATTTTTTTTTTTTCCCCAAGGCTTTTACTTCAGTGTCTAAAGTTAAAAGAAGCCCAGCTACATATGGATCTTCTCTAGACTAGACTAAAAGGTGTGGTGTTAGCACCCTTTAGCAAGCAAGTTTTAAAAGTCTGTGTAGATGAGACAGTGTGTACTTTAACATAGTACAGCACATGTTAAAGGCAGCATGTCTTGTCTATGCTAGGCTTTTAAAACATGTTATCACATTGTTTAACATCACACGTTTAAAATCCTAGTTTCGACAAAGCCACAGAATGCACAGCTGGTCTCAAAGAAAGGGTGGTCATGCACAAGACTAATGGGCATTTGGAGGATAATTTAAAATTGCCATCTGCATGTTCAGCACTCGTTTATGGCTTTCCATGCTCTTGAAGTTGCAGACTAAACTGAGTATTTATCTGCCTCCACTGCCAGTTTAAGATCTGGGTCTTTATTTTCAAAGCCATCAGTGGGACATGTTCCAGCTCATACGAGACCAGATCTCCATCTGCAAACCACCAAGAGAGTTGTACTCTTCTAGGGCAATAGTGAAAAGCCCGAACAAAGTGTATGGGAGCTGCTGACAAAGCATTTTAAGATAAGGGTGGCAGCTGTGGAATGAAGTTAGGGAGGAATTTAGACAAATCCAGAGTTTGACCACTTTTAGGAAACACTGAAAAACCTTCCTATTTAATAAAACCTTTCCACCATAACCAGAATTGACAATATTGACCACCTTGGATGCTCCCATGCCATAGCCCCCTGACACCTCCCAAACCCCCATCCCTATCCCCACCCCCACCCCCCAAAAAACCTACCCTAAGAGCTTTGTGACTTGAAAATGGAGAAAAGCCAGAGGCTCCATGAAGTTCACTAGGGACGTTACTATTGCCAAACTGTTCTATGTGGAAGATAGTCAGATACTACAATGATGGGCAGAAGTACAAAAATCTAAGATTGATGGAAAATTTAAAGCATCTTTGGGACTGTCTTTTAAGAACACAGCTGGGGCTTTTGGGGAAAAGGAGGGAGAAAGGGATCCAAAGAATCAATTTCCCTATTTCTTGTGCACTATGAAAAATAGTTCATAGTAAAGGATTGTTGCCCAAAATTCACTGCAAAATGATGGACTTTTCGTAAAAAAGTAAAGTTAAGGAGCAGTGCTTCGATAACAAAAAGCAATACTGGAGTATGCATTTCTGGTTTGTTGTTTCATTGCTAGAGTGTCTTCACTTTCCCAAGGCAGGCACTAATAAATAGACCTCACTCCCTTTTTGATTTATTGCTTAATCCCATAAGTCTTAGAGGTAAGTGTTGCCAAAGAAGGTGTGGGCAGTGAAGTAGTCTTACGCTGAACTTTGATTTTAGTCCTGAGTGCAACTTTTTTAGGAGTTAGTAAAAATTGGTGCAAGATACTTGTTCTGATAGGTAGTGATACAGGATTGCACTGAACTGGCTTGCAGTGGTTTTTATTTTCTCTTACTACAGATGTTGGGCCATTGCTTGGCAGCAGAGTTCAGGAGCGGTTCGCGAAAGAAGTGCGTCCTGCACTCGATGCAGCTCTAACAATGGCAGGAGGTAAATGCACATCTCCACTTTTATTTTTAACCTTCTATTGCCTTGTTAAGAGAGACACCCTCTTCCTATTCCAAAGTTTATGTAATTTTGTAATCCGTCTATACGTGGAGGTTTTTTCTGGGCAGTGACACTTGTCAAGTGAATTGAGAGTGTTGTGCATGCCTTAGGACTAGGGAAAAGCATGGTCCCGTTACAGAGGAAAGAGCATTATTCCAGTGGCAGGAGCTAATTTTTCTTTTCCTCAGAATATGCATCCTTGTATCTTTCTGTTTTAAAAAGGTATTTGACATCTGTGCACTTTCAGATGGATGGATACTGGACCTTCTGGGTATTTATAAGCATCTTTGAATGCTAGGTTTTGGCTAGGTAAACGTCCCAGCTTTACTTCTTCCAGTAGTACCAATGGTTTATGGAAGTTGCAGTGGTGGTGAGTTTACACAGCAGAGTTAGCCAGTGGATTGATTGCATTGTACAAAAGGTTTTGAGCCTATTCAGCTGGATCTTTGTAGTGAAGTTCCCATCATTTGAAATTGTATGTCTGTTGCCAGACTTTTTCTTCTTATATGGAAAGGCTGATTAGGAAACATTCAAACTTTTTGTGAACTGTAATTAATGAGTAGTAGTTTATCTGCTTCTCAGGCAGGTCCTACTGTTTTATACCTTCAGTCCTCAAAGGTGTGTTGCTGCTTTTTATGTGTGGGCTAGCACCATCAAGTTAAAATATTTGTCTAGTTTATTGTGAAGGTACCAGCAACTAAAATTTCTTGACCGTACATGCTTTGGGGCTTAGTAACACTTGATGCTGTGATTTGTCCATTATAAAGATGATTTCAACAGTTCTTGTTTTATGCAAGATTGCTAATTCAGGAATTTGTAACTGGTGCAGTTGTACGTACAAAAGTGAAAATTATCACTGAATTTAGTCACTTTTTTTGCTCTACCCATGCACATGAAACTGTTTGCACACATCACCAGACCCCTTTCTCATCACCCATTATCATTCTCCTTTCTTTGCTTTATTTTTCTATTTGGCTTGAAGTCAAAGTGGAAAGGGCTATAAAAGGTAAAAGACTTGACAAAAGCTTGTGTGTTGTGTGAAGTGTGGTTCATTTTTTTTTGTGCACTTTCTTGTGCATTTTTAGCTGTATCTGTTTGTCTATTACCCTTCTGTTGAGCACTTCATTGTTTTTGTATGACTGGGCTGAGATCTAAAGGCAGAAAATGTTGAACCAGCATTAGTGATGGCTGGTGCAACATGTTCTGTTTCACTTGAAACTCACAGTTCAGTGATGTGCCCCAAGTGTATGGTAGTGATAGAAATACAGAAAATACCGTATTGAGCTTGCAAAACAAGGCCCTGGATTTGTTGCTAATGACTTGACCCACTTGTGCTGGTATATGATAATGAAACAGTGGTCTCGTACTTCTGTGTTGCTATCCACCCAAACTAGTGAACCGAACAAAGAATAAAAGGGGGTAAATTTTGGGGGTGGGTGGAATCCTGGTAAAAATAGATTAACTGTTTGGCCTGTGCTAGCAAAATGTGCCATGCGTCTGTTTGCAGTATATTTTCTGCTGCAATAGAGCTGGTTTTTGTAGTTAAATGTATGCATCTTGCTGAGTAACTAGACTGACTTCTAAATCAAACTTGTTTTAAAATCTTTGTATCATCACAGCAATCAGAGAAACAAAGGAGGCATTGGAAAATGTAAGCGTCTCTGTGGAGGTTTTGCAGGAAGGTACTGAAAGGCTGCATTCTAACCTGACCAATGTTAAAATACACCTGAGCAACACACTCAGTGACTCTGCATGCTCTGCTGCTCAAGCTGCTTCAACTTGCAACATTATCAGAAATTCATTAAATCAACTGAATATCAATGCTAACTTCAGTGGGGTAAGAATATTTTTTCAACATTTCACAGTGTAGTTTCATTGTATTACCTCAGTAATATTCCTCTGATTTAGGCTCAATTTGTGGAATAATTTGTGTAGCAAAATGATCTATTCTGCATCTCTTCATCTATGCAATTTCAATCACTGCTTTTATCTTGAGTGCGCTAGAAAGTAAGATAGAGAGATATACGTCAATCAGCGATGTTAAAATGCTGCTCTGGCCAACACTATGATCTGCTAACTATAATTGCTGAGTATAAATTTTGCTTTCATCCGACGAAGGTTTAAGGAGAGCACTAGCAATATTGTGCTATACACATTCTCCCAATTTGTTTTTACTATCCCCTTTGAAATATATGGTCAAGTAGTGTATATGGTATTTTGATTTAACTCAAGAATGCTTTTTTCCATCCTAGTTGCCAGGTGTGAGCACACAGGTTGCCAAAGTCAATGACGTCCTTAAAATAGACCTTTCCAGTTTGGTTCAAAAGGTACGTTTCTTGGTACATTAAATAATAGGATGGGATGATTACATATGACATTTGTTCTTGGCTTTCCCAAGTAGAAGTCTTTCTCCCCCTTACTGCTTCTTAGCGGGTTTCTCTCCTGACTGTCCCGGCGTTGGTTCACATCTTAAGATTTAATATGTAATAATACTTGCATAAGGCTTTACATCTTCAGAGCTCTGTGCATCCATAATTAACATTAGTTTTCTACTAAAGGATATTCTTCAAAAGCAAAAAGACAGAATCTGGGTCTACTGCAGTGGTGGGCAACTTGCGGTCCATCAGGGTAATCTACTGGCGGGCCACAAGACAGTTTGTTTACATTGACTATCTGCAGGCACGGCCGCCCACAGCTCCCAGTGGCTGCGGTTCGCCATTCCCAGCCAATGGGAGCTGCGGAAAGCGGCGCAGGCCGCAGGGACGTGCTGACCGCCACTTCCTGCAGCTCCCGTTGGCCGGGAATGGTGAACCGTGGCCACTAGGAGCTACAAGCAGCCGTGCCTGCGGACAGTCAATTTAAACAAACTGTCTCGCGGCCCGCCAGCAGATTACCCTGACGGGCTGCAGATTGCCGACCACTGGCCTACTGGCATATATTATATCTTTTCAAATTTTAAAGCTTAGGTACTTTTAGTAGGAGCCCTGTTAAAAGATAGAAAAGCAGTCCACAAGCCCCAGGGCATGAGGGGTTCATCTAGACCCCTGCCTGTCACATGGGTGATCAGAGTGAGGGGGAGATACAAAGGTAGTAGATGATGGCTAGGTAGAGTGAAGTGTGCCCTTTCCTTTCCCATCTGGTTAAGATGCTGGAAAGTTCTCTGGCAATTGGCACCCACTGTTTTGAGCATCTTGGGGGGTTTTTTGTTTGTAATCCTTTGTCTCCATAAAACAAAGGCCTGAGGAAAAGGATTGAAATTCTGGCACCGGTGACAGTGTTGTTCATCTTTCCTGATTGGTGTTTCTGCTTACCAGTCTCAACATGACATTTTTGTTTTGGGATGGGCTACTACTCTGAGAGGAGTAGACTGTGTAGGTGTTCAGCATTTCAGCATTGTTTACTGAGAATACGTGCGTGCGTCCTTAGCTTTGTAAGCATTAGGTGCGTCGGACAAAAAGCACCTTAGCGGCATAATCATGCAAATGTGACTGATATATGTTTAAAAAAGTGTTTGTGTTTGCTTCTTCAGGGACTAATTGTGAGAGCAAAATACCTGGATTAGACTCTCTCATTAAGCTTTCTGTAGTATTTTGTACTTTTAATGGGTGACATAAAATTTGTTTGACATACCAGATAAGATGTGATGTGTATAATGTTAGCCCTTTTACAACAGAAAAACAAATGTGAGCAATTCAGCATTGAGAGATTCTTTTAACTCTCTCCATTTATTTTAGGGCTATGCAGCCTTTAATGATACTCCAGATTTAGTGCTGAACCAAACCAGGAACATCTTATCAGGTGAAACTGATAATAGAATTTGCTTTTTATTTTGATTGATAAATTGTTTTCTAGAGCATAATATTAAAGTTTAGTATCACTCCTTTACCATGGTTATATTTTTGTATCCTCTTTATTGGTGATGTTTCAGAAAATGCTATCAAAGATGAAATCTAAAACTTGTTCACATTTTTGTTGACTGAGAAGACCACCATTGGCAGTATTATTGTCTCATAATTAAATCTAAGAATACAACATATGGTGTTTTATGCATTGTTTCTTGGACTACTACTGCCTTGCAAGTGAAATCTTGAAGTCTAAATGGCATTTGGGTTACTATATCCTTATTGTGCTATAATGTTGACAGTGCTTTGGTTGGAAAAAGCACGCATACAGTATTTATTATTTATTTAAGCTTAGCTCCTAATAAAAAAAGAAACTGATCTATGTAGTGGTATAAAATCTAGTGGGTAAAACACATGCCTTACATAATATTTTAACTTGTTCTTTATCCTTTTAAGTACCCAAAAAATCAAACAGTTAAAACAGTTAAATTGGCTAACAGCTTAGTTATCATTAAAGGGTAACATGTAGTACATTTAATATATGAATGTGTATACTAATGTGTTTTAATTTTTGTTCTTGCATTGTGGACCTGTTCTGCCAATATAAACAGCTGTTCCTTGTAAGTTTGGCAAAACAATACACAGTATGTATGTAAACATAGCATACTGTGTGTCCTTGTCTAAAATAAGTCAAAGTTTTCTAAGATGATGATGTTACATTTTCTTCATTAAGGAGATCTAAATGCAAAAATACTCCTTTCCAGTAGCTGCTAATTTGCATAAAACCAGGCAGGCTTTCGTTATTTTAGCAGCTTGATGTTTCTTACTAATAACTGAGTGCAGGATAGAAATCAAGTTAAAAATAGAGGAAAAAATTGTAATAGAGTTAATTTCATGAACAGTTTAGTTCTTAAAGAGAAGGAGGGTTTGGGTTTAGGAAACCTGGTACCTGAATCTATTTGTTTCAAAGCGCAAAAAAGGCCTGATTCTCCTGGAGTGGGGGGACAGTGCTGGCCATTACCAAATTCATGTGGCAAGTTGACATCTGACAGGATGTATCCTGATGGAATAGGGTGCATCAGAATTTTGAAGGAAAAAGGAATGAAGAAAAATGCATTTCTTTATATATTTATAGTACAATGGAAGTATGAAATATTTTAGGATCTCTGTGCAGCTAAATATAACTTTTAAATTATGCCAACAGATTAGCATGTTCCCTCATAAATTGAGATGACCAAAATATTACTTCATTAGCACATCTTTTTGAAGAATGCTGCTAACTAATTGGAAAGACTTTTTTATTTAAAATATGGATTTTGTAAAGACAAATTATAACTTTTAACTCTTTCTGTGTTGAGAAGTTAATATAGGATCTTTAATTTGTTTAACAGGGTGTGTTGTATGCCAGAGGAAGTAGTGTTTAAACTAGGGCTGTCAAGCGATTTAAAAAAAATTAATCACCGTTTTAATCATATTGTTAAACAATAGAATACAAATTGAAATGTATTAAATATTTTTGGATGTTTTTCTGCATATACTCGATCATAAGCCAGTTCGTTTATAAGCTGACCTCTCCCCCCCCCAGATGGATAAGTAAAAATGGAAAATGTGTATGACCCTATAATTCAGGGGTCAGCAAACTTTGGCTCCTGGGCCATTAGGATAAGCTGCTGGCGGGCCGAGACGGTTTGTTTACCTCGCGTCCACAGGCACAGAGGTAAACCTAAGTAAACAAAGTGTCCCGGTGCACCAGCTGCTTACCCTGACGGGCTGGGACAGCAACTGGTGGGGAAATTTTGGGGGGGGAGAAGCTGGGGGTCAAGGGAGTAACCCCTGTGACCACCCCCCACATGACCCCACCCCTAGCCCAGGACCCCCATGCTCTCCCCATCCCATCCCTTCCTACCTTATCTGGGGAGGGCCAGGGGAGGATGTCTCTGGTCTGGCTGGAGCTGCTCTGGCAGACCGGGCGGTGCGGCCGCAGCACGTTCCGGCGGGCTGCAGCCTGCCAGCCCTGGAGCTGCAGCTGCTTCGGAGGCTGGGTGGAGAGCAGTGTGGCCAGAAGCGGAGAGACTCTGGCCCCGCCTCTTCCCTTCCGTCTCTGCTGGCTGTGCTGCCTCTGTTGGGGGGAGGGGCTGTGTCCCACTTCTCCCTCTCTCTACCCGTTCATAAGCTGACCCCCTTCTCTGGTGTTTCCCTTTTTTTACTAAAAAAATTCGGTTTATGAACGAGTATATACGGTATATTGATTTCAATGACAACATAGAATACAAAGTGTACACTGCTCGCTTTATATTATGATTACAAATATTTGAGCTGTAAAAATGATAAACAAAAGAAACAGTATTTTTCAATTCACTTCATACAAGTACTGTAGTGTAATTTCTTTATTGTGAAAGTGCAATTTACAAATGTAGATTTTTTTTTTTTTTTGTTACAAAACTGCACTCAAAAACAAAACAATGCAAAACTTTAGAGCCTACACATCCACTCAGTCCTACTTCTTGTTCAGCCAATCGCTAGGACAAACAAGTTTGTTTACATTTATGGGAGATAATGCTGCCCACTTCTTGTTCACAATGTCACCAGAAAATGAGAACAGGTGTTCGCGTGAGACTTCTGTAGCCAGCATTGCAAGGTATTTACGTGCCAGACATGCTAAACGTTCGTATGCCTCTTCATGCTTCAGCCACTATTCCAAAGGACGTGCTTCCATACTGATGACGATCATTTAAAAAAAATGCATTAATTAAGTTTGTGACTGAACTCCTTGGGGGAGAACTGTATGTCTCCGGCTCTATTTTACCTGCATTTTGCCATATATTTCATGTTATAGTAGTCTCGGATGATGACTCAGCACATGTTGTTCATTTTAAGAACACTTTCGCTGCAGATTTGACAAAACACAAAAGGTACCAGTGTGAGATTTCTAAAGGATAGCTACAGCACTCAATCCAGGGTTTAAGAATCTGAAGTGCCTTCCAAAATCTGAGAGGGATGAGGTGTGGCGCATGCTTTCTGAAGTCTTAAAAGCGCAACACTCTGATACGGAATCTACAGAACCCAAACTACCAGAAAAGAAAATCAACCTTCTGTTGGTGGCATCTGACTCATGATGATGATGATGACGACGACGACGATGACGAACATGCGTCAGTCTGCACTGCTTTGGATTGTTATCGAGCAGAACCAGTCATCAGCATGAACATAACATAAGAACGGCCATACTGGGTCAGACCAACGGTCCATTTAGCTCAGTATCCTATCTTCTGACAGTGGCAAATGCCAGGTGCCCCAGAGGGAATGAACAGAACAGGTAATCATCAAGTGATCCATCCCGTGAACGCATCTCCTCTGGAATGGTGGTTGAAGCATGAAGGGACATATGACACTCTAGTGCATCTGGAATGTAAATATCTTGCGACGCTAGCTACAACACTCCCATGCGAACACCTGTTCTCACTTTCTGGTGATATTGTGAACAAGAAGTGGGCAGCATTATCTCCCATAAATGTAGACAAAGATTGGCTGAACAAGAAGTATGACTGAGTGGATGTGTAGGCTCTAAAGTTTTGCATTGTTTTGTTTTCGGGTGCAGTTTTATAACAAAAAAAAAATCTACATTTGTGGGTTGCACTTTCATGATAGAGATAGCACGACTGTACTTGTATGAGGTGAATTGAAAAATACTGTTTCTTTTGTTTCATTTTTACATCTCAAATATTTGTAGTAATAATATAAAGTGAGCAGTGTACACTTTATATTTTGTGTTGTCATTGAAATCAATATATTTGAAAATGCAGACAAACATCCAAAATATTTAATAAATTTCAGTTGGTGTTTTATTTAACAATGCGATTAGAACTGCGATTGATCGCAATTAATTTTTTTAATCACGATTACTTTTTTGAGTTAATCACATGAGTTAATTGTGATTAATCGACAGCCCTAGTTTAAACAATCTTAAAACTTCTCCTATTAATCATTCATAAATGTAGTACCTAATTGCCTTGCTCAGTATTGCTATTTGGTATATTACAAAAAAAATTGCAAGATTTAAGTTAGCTGGATTTAAAAAAGACACAATCATTTTAAAATGAATCAAGAGAATCAAGAAAACTCTGACTTGACTTCAACATCTTTCATTGTTAAGTTGAATGTTAAAACTACAGTATGTGTGTGTTAAAATGCCATTATCTTATGTTGAAAGCTAATATTCCTTGTGGCTTGCCTGTCCTGTTTCATGCTTGTCTTCATAGCTTGCCTTTCTCCATATACAATATGGCTGAAATGAATGAGTATTTTAACCTGGTGTATGTAGAATATAATTTTTCTTTTATGGACTTGTAACGATGTACTCGCACAATGCTTGCTTTTTCAGATATCAAAAATTTGTTGGACTTCATTGGTTCAAATATCACTAGCTTCACTAAAATGCTTCCTGTTCAGAAGGTTCTAGCTGATTTAACAATATATCTTACTCAGAGTGAGGCATATGTTCAGGATTATTTCCCAGTAGTGGAACAGTATGATTTCTACAGGTAGGTACATATTACTTAAGTAATATGAGGTAGGAGGGGAACACTGTCTAGGAATATTTTGAAATAATTATTTGTTTTTGTCAGGACAATAAAAGTGTGGTCGCTGAGCTACAATGGAGCCTTGATGCTATTGTGAAGTTGTTGTAATTTATTGTTTGTCTGGTGGTAGAGGCCCTGCCAGGATTTTGCTGGACACTCTACAAACATAAAATAAGAGACAGTTTCTGCCCTGAAGAACTTAGTCTATTTAGACAAGACAAAGAGTGGGCATAAGGGATGTAACATACAAGCAGCATGATGGTTTGCAAATATCATGTTAGTTCCACAGTTTGCTTTTTGGTTAGCTGTGAAATTTTAATTTTTGTTTTGGCATATTTTATTTTATTGCATCCAATGTCTTGTAGGGCAAGAGTGAGAAAGAAGGGGAGATGGGAGGGAATTAGCTGAAGGGAGAAGGAGAGAAATAATCAGAGTAAATGAAAGGAAGGATGGAGAGGCATGGAAGGTGTTAGAGTGGAGTAGTGTTGGATAAATTCTACGTATGTAGGTAGATTGAGCAGAATTACTCTGTTGTCATGAGTAAAAAGGAAAGAATACTTTGGTAGGAATTAGGGTTAATCTTGCAGTACCCTGATTATATGCCATTTAACTGTGTGCTTTTGTAATTGCAGCAGTGCACAATTTTGCACTTTGCAATGTATCTTTACCATAGGTTTTAACCCCAACAATCTGAAAACAGAATTGTTCTACAACATTCAGATAGTATCAGAGGGGTAGCCGTATTAGTCTGGATCTGTAAAAAGCGACAGAGTCCTGTGGCACCTTTAAGACTAACAAATGTATTGGAGCATAAGCTTTCATGGGTGAATACCCACTTCGTCAGATGCATGTAGTGGAAATTTCCAGAGGCAGGTATAAATATCTCTAGACTGATTCTTGTCTGCATATTTATACCTGCCTCTGGAAATTTCCACTACATGCATCTGATGAAGTGGGTATTCACCCACGAAAGCTGATGCTCCAATACGTCTGTTAGTCTATAAGGTGCCACAGGACTTCTTGTCGCTTTCAACATTCAGATATGAAGTAGTATGTGTGTATTTTCAGACAAGTAAACTTTACAAGAGCAATTGGAAATTCTATAACAAATCCACACTCACAGATTTTTAGTTGATTTTTGCACAGCTCCATTTATAACCCATTTGAGATGGGTCTCTTCTGAATTATTGGTCACCCTGCATAATATTTTTACCCTCTAATCTCTTTGATATTTCTTCTTTAATATTCATGATTGATTTTTGGACTGTGGTGTGCCATACATATTAATCCTGTAACTGTCTATATTGATTCATCAGATGGTTGGGTTGTCTAATTCTCTGCTGCATGGTGATTCTGATCCTGGTCTTTTACTATCTTGGACTATTATGTGGTACTTGTGGTTATGATAAACATGCTTCTCCAACAACCAGAGGCTGTATCTCAAACACTGGCGGCAATTTCCTTATGGCGTGAGTTTTTATTTTTAACAAATATAAGTTAAATATTACACAAATATCTCTTGCAGTTATATACTGTATTGTGGAAAGTATATTTTGAAGAGCAGTGGCTTTATTACCCGGGTAAATATATACGCTGGCCAACTGAGGGAGGAAAAATAGATTTTAAGATGAAAATACAGGTTAAATGTTTGGAAACGAAGTGCCTCTGGAAGCAAGTTCTAGCCTTGGGATGCTTTAAAAGATGTTAAGTTGGCATTAATATACAGTAATGTCTTTACTAGAGGATCATGTGAGAAGATAAGCCATGTTAATCTCTTATAGTGAGAACATTGTAACTAACAAACATCCATTTAAACCAATTTGGGAATTGCAAAATTGGGACACATGTCAAATTATTTAGACTATAAAGGGAATCTGTAGTTTTCCTCTAAAAATAATATGTATGGAACACATTTTTAAACGTGGAGTGGGCTCCCAAAGAGAGAGAGATTAGATCTGCTGCATCAGAAGAATAGGGGAATATGGCCTATTTCTATCTGATCGCTGAGGGCTTTTTTTCTGTGGGTGATAATGATCCTTAGGGATCCTAGCACTGGGTTTAATCCATCCTTCTTGCTGAGGAGGGCTGGAACTTGCACAACCACTCTTGAAGACTAGAGGCTTCATTTAAAAAAAATTTTTAAAAGGCAATGCGCTCACTCTTTACAGAGACAATATGCTCCACTTCCAACCTAAGAAATGAGCCAGCCTGTTTGTGTCTCAGACTCTGATCCCTAGTGTGCTTTATTCTACTCCCATTTCAAAGTGGGGTAAACTAAGAGTGCATGCAGCAGACTCCACGCAGCCAGGTAGTGCACAGCAGGCTAGTGTGATATAGATTTATACCCCAGCTTGCCACAAACTAAATGTCCATATAGACAAATCAGTGGTCCCCAAACTTTTGAGAGTTGCGTCCCCCTCCTTTCAGGGCCAGGAGCAGAGCCGCAGCTTCTGGGTGGGGGATGCGGACAGGCGTAAGGTGGGTGGAGGTGGGTCTGGGAGCGGAGCCAGGCCTGGACGGGAGGAGCAGTGGGGGAAATGGGGGGGGGGGGGGGGGGGGAGCCCTTCCCACCCCCCGCGGGGGCTAGCCCAAGCTGCTTTAACATTCATCTGCATGTCCCATAATTTGGGGACTTCTGATGCAGCACTACTGGGAACAGTCTTTGCCTCTTCTTGTTAATTGCTATAGTTACTGAATTTTGGCTTCTACTGCATGCACTTCAGTGTTCTTAAACTCTCACTAGATTTTTTTTTTTTTACCTTTTTCAGTGGAGTAGGATTCAGTTTCCTTTTCTCCTGGGTGCTGATGATCATAGTGGTCATCACCTTCGTTACAGGTGGAAATGTAGAAAAGCTGGTCTGTGAACCCTTTGAAGACAGGACTTTGTTTAAGGTGAAGTTGTTCATATTCAAAATATTAACCAACCAACCAAAAAAAAAAACCCCACCCCAAACCCACAAGTCTTTAAGATGTTTGTAATTTTTTGTGCTGATTTGGCATTTTTGATGACTCACATCAGTCATGATAATATGGGGCTATTAGTGTCCATTCTGATGGAGAGGCTCATCCTCTGCCATTCTCAGTTGCAGATTCAACCGAGAATGGCAATGCAAATATTGTGTGCCTACCCTGGAGGTAATCCCTGCAGCTCAGCAGCCCATGATAACATGTGAAGCTACACTTTTCACTTTCTGCTCCTGAAAGATCCTTGGGTCTTGTGTATCTGCTTCTTTTTCCATCAGCAGATGATGATCTCTGAGGGGGAGGCGTATGTGTGCGTTGAAGGCTCGCATAAACAAATACAGGCAGGAATTTAGAAATGTAGAATTATGATAAATAACTTCAGTGCACTTTGTTCTAGGTTTTGGATACTCCCTACTTACTGAATCGACATTGGAGAAACTACCTTTCTGCCATCGTGCTTAAAAATCCAGATATTAATTTGACCTTTGAAAAAGTTTACAGGTATTAATAAAAAAAAAATAAAAAAATCTTGGCCAGGATTTACAGCTGTTACCATGCATTCCTTTTTGTCTTCAAAAACCAGCAATTTCCATATTCTAGATTTCCAGCACCAAAAATTGCCTATATACTGTATAAGGTGACCCCTTAATTTCCTGGGGAATCACTAGCAGAAGTGAGTGACCCACATATAAACCAGTTATTATAGGTAGTCTTAGTATAATACAATCGAACAAAAGCAGCTGTCCTTGTGAAAAGCTGTTTTGTGTATTTTACAGCATCAAAGAATCTTTAAAACTAAGCAAATTGTTAAATACTGTCCTTCCTATAGCCTGACATCCAAAAGATATGGCTAGCACTCTATAAAAATTGACTAACCTAAAATGTGCAGGCATTGTTAATCATTTAAAAAAAATAGCATCAAGGTTGGTTTTCAAATTGATATATACATCATTTATTTTCATAGTGACTGCAAAGAAAACAAAGGAATTTATACCACACTTCACCTAGAAAATCTCTTCAATATCAATGAGTTTCTAAACATTAGTATGGTAAGTAAAGGAAGTTTGTGATTGTGATCCTAATTTTGGAGTGTATGGAGGGACATTGCCATTGTCAGCTAACTTTTTCAGGTGTTATTGAACACAGTACAGTACTGGTGGTTTTGGGGGGTAGGGGGTGGGGTTATCCATTCCTATATTCTCTAACAGTCAAACCTGGTTAAGATGGGAGAAAGTCTTATTTTTAGTAAATAACTTTGTAGAATTCTTTCATTCAGGGCCTTCATGGGCATGGAGAGCTCTGTGCATGGGATTACTTACTTATTTATAAAGCTAAGATTTTGTCACAGATATTTTTAGTAAAAGTCATGGACAGGTCACAGGAAATAAAGAAAAATTCACAGAAGCTAGTGACCGGTCCATGAATTTTACTAAAACTACCCATGATAAAACAGGAAGGGTCTGGGCAGATGCTGGTTGTCTGGGAGTTCCAGAGCCCCCCCGCCCCCCCACGGTGGTGGGGAGCTGCTGGGGTCCCTGTGCCCACCACAGCACCGGGAGCCATGGAAATCCCCCCGCGACCAGTGGTGGTGTCCGCAGGGAGCTGCAGGGGATCCCCCTGCCCCCAGCTGCCGCAGGAAGCTTATAGCTCCCTGACACTGCGGAAGGCTGTGGGACCCTGCAGCTCCCAGCTGCCAGGGCTGATGTCAGAGGTCTTTGGAAGTCACGGATTCCGTGACCTCCATGACTAAATCATAGCCTTATTTATAAGTCATAACATTGCTGGAGGTGTTCATGGCTTGTGATATACCAGAGGTCAGATTAGATGATCTGGTAGTCCCTTCTGGCCTTAAGCTCTGACACGATTTTTTATTTTACGTACATAAAGACCTCAAAGTCTAGCATTCTCCAGGAGATGCTGAGAATTCTTATTAGTTGAAGACAACATACAGTCTCTCTCTTCATATGGCAAGCCTCTATACTGACATGTTCAGTTTGGCAGGAACCAGAATTAAAGTTGGCCAAAGAGATGAATTGCTGTCCTATATGCACCCCACAACCCATGATAAAACTTGTATTATTTGAGAGAGGAAAAAAATGATTTCTCCCAACTTGGTTTCTAGAATTGGCCAAGGTTAATTGGATATCATTACTAGTTATCAGCTGTACTAATTTTGTATTGCAGTAGCTTCTAGAGGCCCCAACTAAGATCAGTGTCCCATTATGATAGGCATTGAGCCTACACATAGTAAGAGACCGTCCCTGCCCCAAAGAGTATACAAACAATAGACAAGACAGAGGATGGAGGGGAAATGAAGGCACAAAGACATGAAATGACTTGCCCAAGGTCTCTCAGCAATCCAGTGGCAAACTTGGAATAGAATTCTGATCTCCTGCATCCCAGTCCAATGCTCGGTCTATTGGACGACACAAATCAATATAGTACTTGTCTTTCATTACGTAGTAGGCTGGGGCCTTTCTGTTATCTTGATAAATCGTTAGAGGATCTTTTATGGTCAATTGGTGATCCCTTATCCAATTATGGTACAGAATTTCTGTCAAGGTTGATGATAAAATGCTAGAGCCCTGTATTCTCTAGATCTATCATACAGTCTATGGCATAGCCTGGCCATTTTAAGACCGCTTTATCTGAAGAAACACATTTCCTGCATTTTATCCCAGTATCTGTTCTGGATGGAAATTGGACCCTCCTGAGGGAAGCACATTGAAATAGGTCATGGAAATAGAGTAATCTGTAGAGGAGCCGAAAGGATGTAGAGACAGGTTAGGACACTGCAAGATGAGAGTATGGGGATGCTGCAGGGAAAGGAAGAATCAGACCTACTATATGTCCAGATTAATTTGACTTCCACTGGTGTAGCTGGGAGCAGAATTTGATCACTGAATTTTTATGTGGGTTAAGTGACATGAGTGATAAATCAACAGGAGCAAGTGCTTTCAAGTGAGAAGTGTCTTATCACAGGAAGAGTATGGACTCAGTGAGAACTGCTTCTTGTCTTTTTTTCCCTCAGTATACAGAAGATGTATCACTGAAAATTGAACATATTAATGTAAATCTTAGCAATATCGTTTTGCTGGATGAAATCGGAAAGCGGAACCTTCTGGATTTCAGTTCTTCAGGAATAGATGGAATAAACTTTGCAGCATATTTGACAGAGGTAAGATAATGGTAACCTCAAATCTGGAAGGTCATGCACATCTGGAAGAAAATATAGCAGCATATGTTTGCTTAACAGGCAAAACAGATTAAAGGCTGGTTCCGTGTGTGTGTGTGGGCTTTTAAGGGACACAATAAGTTGGATAAAAACACTTGAACAAGAAAGCTTTTTAGGATTAGGTCCATAAATAACTTAGTATTTAGGGAAAGGGCTATGTTTATGTAATAGCAGTGCCATAATTTTAAAGTAAATGTAAATGCAGTAGTAATGACAATAAAAATGTTGCTTGTATCTTGTTTAGATCAATAAAAGTGTTACCAAAGTGGATCTTTTGTCATTTGCTAATGACTTGGAAGCAAGAGCAGACCAGTTGGTGAGTTTTATTTGCAAAGAATATAGAACTGATGGCTGTTCACTGCTAAAGGTTGTTCTGCTTTCTGACATTCATAGTTCGTAGTTTTAATCAGTATTTTGTCACAGTAAATATCCACCCGTCTGGATTTCATGTGTGAACAAAGTCATTGCTCCTCTCTCACACACATGCATATACCCTGCCATGTGGTATGTGGAGATATATATGTAACTCTCACATAGTGTTTCATTTTACCCCTTTTCTGTATTGCCCCCCACACATCATTTCTGCCTCTGTTGTCTTGGTTTTCATTTATAGTAATATTTATTGCTGCTTTTTTAAAAAGAAATTGGCAAGTCCTGCAAACTCCATTACAGTATTTCAGATAAGCACTGTTTATATTTTATGATCACAGCTTAACGAGAAAACTGACCCAAATCATGGTGGGGAAAGGCCGTTTGAATGCATTGTCCAGGTATTATGTAGTGGATGTTTTTAGTAAACAGTTATATAAATGTTAGCTCCTAAAGGTCCTAGCTGAGACTGAGGCTTCTTTGTGCTAGGCACTGTACAAACACGCAAAAGAGATGGTACCTGCCCTGAAGGGCTTACAGTCGAAAGTGGGTAGGAGGTGTGGATACAGCATACAAGCAAATTAATCTAGGGAAGAACTGGCACAGCTTTGTAGGCTAATATTGCACATTTGGTTTTATATTTTCATACATAGTTTCTTTTTTTTTTTTTTTTTTTAAATATGAAAATAGCCAGCAAGCATTACAGTCAGGGCCAAAGCAAGGCAATCAGGTACCCTACATACCATGGCCCTACCATATGTATGCCCCTGTACAGTGACGGGGGTTCTCCTCCTTGCAAAGAGACAGTGGCATGGGACCCCTTTCCGCATCCCGGGGTGGTAACAGGAGCTCCTTCTTCCCCAAGACAGGCAGGAGTAGCAACATAGTGCCCCAAATACTTATTCCAGCTTGTTGGGTGCATGGGCCAGGCCTGCTGCACTCTTCTCTTCTTATCACACATTCTCTGTTTAGACAGGGACCCCCAGCATTGGGGTTTTGGAGTTAACACCCCATTAAGATGTATAGTGCAGGTCAAACCTTTCGTAGCTGTTGATTCAGGCTGTCTGCACACTCCGGCAATATCAGTGGTTTGGTTACACTGTTTGTTTTCAGCTTTTCTTCGTAATCATGAGAGCAAGAGACCTTTTTAATGATAGCAGAGATTCCTCTGTTATCGCATGACTTCAGGCACCTTAAACACAGGTCAATACTGACTTCATCCAGCCCTGGTAACTGTTAGGATTTGTTTTGTATTTTGGTGATGGCAAGATCAAGTTAGAACAAGAAAGTGGACAAAGTTCAAGGGTTGATGGGAATGGCTTCACACTAGGTTTGAATTTACAACTCTGATTACATGACAGTAATGTGATTCTTCATTGTACTCTGAGATTTCCATTGACTTTTCAGTGACTCTAGCTCTCATTGTTCCTTTATTCACTTCCTCTTTAAAACAATGTTGCCTTAACTGAACCCTTTTTATGCAAAATTTAGGAGATGAATGGCTTCCCCCAGAAGATGTTACATAGAAGCAACTAAAATACATGTAATCTCTTCTGTTTGTACAGCTTCCATAAGCACAAGGCTCCTGTATTTATCTTCATTAAAGCTATGACAATGCATTCATTATTTATTTAACCGCCAAAGAATTGCATTCCAACAGAATGACTACAGAGGCAATTTTCTGTGAGCTAAAGTGGGACACCTCCAACACGCTCCCAAGTCCCTCAGTCAGCACCTTCCAACACTCTTTTCTCTGGAATTGCTCATGATCGGGGTTCTTTAATGGTAGATTCCACATACATCCATAAAATATAAGATGTTCTGTGACGCTGTCTTTATTTTTTTTGTGTGGGTGCCTAATAAAAAGCAGAGAAAAGATCAAGTCAGATAATGTGATGTAAAGTATACAGTAGTTTAAATGCATTACTTGTCATTGTGAAAGTTTTTCCTCTGTGTGTATTTTGGTGATTAGTGTAATGGATGAGATCATTGATGGGACAGCCTAACATGTTAGAATCAGTGCAAGGAAGCTAGACTGCTTTGAAATTGACACTAGTGTCTAAGGATGTAATGTCTATGATCCTGCGCTGTTTCGGATAACTCTGGATGTTTGGGTGAAGGGTGAAATTTGGAGGAAGGCAACATAGTTTTGTTTGTGGGAGATTTTATAAATGGGGACTTAACTTATCTGGGCAACTAAAGTTCAGGAGCTCAACTAAACTACATTTGCTAAACTCTCTCTTGCCAACAGCAGGTCTGCATATTAATCTGCCACCCTTGAGGATGCAGAATGTTTTCTGACTGCTTATTAGCCCTTAGTGCCATGTGAGGCTGAACATTTCACGGAACGATGAGGATGTGGTGTATGTGGCAGGTCCTAACTCCCACTCCTTCACCATCTGCTCTTCCACCACAACAATTTGGCATCTGCAGAGTCTTCTGTTTTTGCCTCCCTATATCACTTCCCCCGAATGGTTGGGTTGTTTTTTTACAGGCCTCCAGATTCACTCTGTCAGTGTGTCCACAGTTAGCTGTCCCATCTAGGATCCTGGAGTGTCTCCCCCAGGACAGTTGAGCTCTAGGACTATTGATGGCTCTGGCTTCTGTTATTCCTGCTGTCTGAGTACCTTGAGTTCTCCAGCCCCTTCAGGAATCGTTTGACGGTTGCTTTTCCTTCCTAAGTCCCTAGATAGCACAGATTCTGGGGCCGTGTCTATATTATAAAAGAGATCTGCTGCCAATGGATGTCAGCAATGGGTGCAGCTGACCTGGTGCACAATATAGTTTTCTTATCTATGCTTACTCATTGCTCATGTTTGGCACTGGTTCTGCTGCACACATTGCTGACACCCATTTACAGCAATGGTTCTTGTCAGTGGTGTGGACAAAGCTTTAGGTGTATGTGAATCACCTCCCTGTACAAGAAGTGGCTGCTGCTCACTGACAGGGACTCCAGTTCTACCAGCCTGCATGGAAAGATCAGGCCCGTCTCTTTTCCCACTTGTCCCGCTGACAGATAAACTATTTAAAAAAAAAATCACTTGTTCTGCTCTCTGCAGTGAGAAAAACAGGCTAAAGTTAAAAAAATATTCTCAGGCTTGTTCATCCAGCCTGGGAGAGGAAAGGGAGATCTTGTTGTTGTCTTCCTCATTTTAGTCAAAGGATTGAGATTTGGGTGGGACAGAAAGGGTGACTTACTGGATGAACTAGTTGACACAGTATTGGTATATTTACTGTGATTAAAAAACCCGTGGCATCAAGGCATCTCAGAGTTCAGGCTGTGGGGCTATCAAATTGCAATGGAGATGTTCTGGTTTGGGCTAGAACCCGGGTTCTGTGACCCACATGATACTATGAGTGGCCAATGTTCTGCTTGGTTCCAAGAAAAGTTACCTGAATAGGGGCAAGGTAATTTTTCCAGTTCCCCAGAATGAGATCCACTAAGGTATCAGCTAATGCCCCCCAATTGGTGCTGCCCTAGACTGATAGAGTTAAGCTGAGTCATACCACATTTAAATGTGCAGACCTTAATGAGTAAACATCCAGAACATTTGTTGACCTTAAGATAGGAGAGTCTAAATATTCGAAGTGACATAGATGCACTTGGAAATGCCCCATGGTGGGAGTTAGTATATATTATTGGGGGAACATCTGCGGGTATGCATGATATTAATGGGCTTTGTAAGTGTGCAGGCCATACTAGTAGTTGTGCTAATTGCATTGATTTGGAAGGTTAATGATTTTGGTTAGGCAGTTGGGAATGAGAAGAGATGTATATTAAATATAGGCTTCAATTAAGCCTTAGGATTCTAAAGCTTCACGGTGGGGAACATTGGGAGCAAAGGGGCATGTTTAGGCCTGATAGAAGCCTGCTGTGGATATTAAGTCTGTTCTGATAACATTTAACAGCATAGGTGTAAGAAGAACTGTGTGTGTGTAAGAAATTGCAGAGTAATCATGTATTTGAAAAGAAAAGATAAAGTAACTAAAAAGCTAGAAAAGACTGGTTTGAACTAAAACTAAACCTGTACTGACAGGGGAGGAGAGTTAACATGGAAATAAGAAGCTAATACATGATGTATAAGGAAAGATAACAAGTTATAAATAAGTTTGTGTAACAAAAGGAGGGTGAAGTAAGTAATTGATCGCTACTTGCTGAGTGTTTTGCCTTAATAGTTGTTAGACCCATCTGTTAAGTGAACCGCAATCCTACGCCATCCCTCTCGGATCATCCGAGTCTGGGTTCCAGCCTGAGCCCAAATGTCTACACTGCAATTTTATAACACCGCAGCCCCAGCAAGCTGACCTGGGCCAGCTGTAACTGTGCTGTGGGTCTTTCATCGCAGTGTAGACAGACCTTTTTTCAGTGTCTAGAAATTGACTGCAAAGGCTCTAATTTTCCTGACTTTTTAGCTAAGAGAGAACCACTAAACAGGAAAAACCATAGGCGCAAATGTTCCTTCCCCAAGCCAGAATCACTCAAAGATTATAATATTTCTGAATGGAAATACCTTAAATCAATTGGCTATATTCAACATTGTAAATAGTTCAAAAGACTAGATGTCCCTAAATCTGTACCAATCCTACATGTAGATGTTTTGGTTTAATCTATAAAGGAAAATTATAATCCCAGTGGAGGGCGCCATTGCACTTTGAGAGACAGTGGATAAATAACTGGAGCATTCCCTTAATAAGATCAATCATTCTTAATGAGCCTCTCAGACATTAGAGCAAAAAAGAGTGAGGTTATCCTATGCTTTTGATGTTGAGAAAAAGATGGCTAACTCCGTGCACTATGTGAAAATTCATACTATTGAATTTGTACAGGTATTTTAACATTTCTCTGACTATATTAGAATTGCACATTTGTTTCACTTACTGAGATTTCTACTATTTTTTATGATGATTTCCCTGTGCTGTAGCATATCTAATGCCATATCATATTGCTTATTTCCGTTTGCTTTGCAAAATATGACCAGAATGTACATGTTATTGATTGCTACACATTTCCTTGTTTTGCTTGAAATATTCTTGATGCTTTGGAAAAATATCACTTTAAAAAAAAAAAAAAAAACAGCAGATCAGCAAACTGAATTATTATGTTTATATTTGCAGCCCAAAGGAGCACTGGAAAATGCATTAAAAGGACATGCAAACAGTATTCGAATGATTCATAACCAACAAGTTGTTCCACTGGAGCAAGCTATGGTAAAATTATTTAAAAGTGTTGTACTATGAACACATAGTTACATTAAAAATATAGATATATATTACAAAACTACTGATTAGAAAATCAGCAAATTACAGTGCAGCTAAGGACTTTTTTCTTTTGTGCAAATTCCATATTAGGTTTAGTTTTATGTATTGTATATTTCCAAAATATGCACATCTATATTTGTATCTAAATACAGGTTTTATATATATATTTTATGTAATTAAAACAGTAGTCAGATAAATTTTTAACCAATTTCATTACCGTTGTTGTTAGTATTATATAATATTGTGAAAACCAAACTTTTCTTTGACCCTTTGTTTTCCACTTTTACATGTACAATTTTATAGAAATACAGTAAGACAGGGAGAAAAAAACTTCCACAAGTTCTAACTTTGCATCATTTATTTTCCATTTTTTGCACTACATTCAGGTTGGCCAAAGAAGATAGTTATAATTTTCACATTTGTTTAATAGTTTAGTTTTACTTTCTGGGTTTGGTACTGTTGGAAATCCCACAGAGTAATGTTTACAGCCAAAGAAAAATCTTCTTCCTTGACCTTTCAAAGGATATGGAAATGTTTCTTCTAACAGGTTTCGCCAGGCACCCTTTTCTTTAATAAAAATAAAAAAAGCAAGCTCAAAGCACAACTCCGCCAGATATCAGTTTTTCTCTGTATATTCTGCTTAAATTTTTCAGCTTATACTATTTTAGTGTCTGAGGGCCCAGGTCTGTTAGGTGATGAACATCTCCTGGAAAGTGCTGAGGAACTGTCTGAAATCACTGGGAATCTAGGAGGTCAACATCTTCCAAGGGGCTTTCAGTACCTCACAGGACTGGGCCTTAATTTAGCAGTTCATACATATATTTCCATACAGAACTATATTTGTCCCTGTGTTCCTCTTATAGAGAAGTATTAGGTCCTCTGTTTCATTCTGCTCATCCTTCACTGTTTCTCTTCTAATTAACTCTTAATTATTCTCATCTTTTTTTCTTTTTCCAAAACTGACTGTCAAGAAATATGTAAAAGCTAGGGTAAGTGATTTTCCTTTCCAGAACTGTAAAATAATATACTGTGCACAATGAGCTTTAATTTTAACTATTCTCCTTTACCCCCCAAATAAATGATATCCAGCCTTATTGCTGCAAACTTTAGTTATATTTGAAGTCTTCTAGCACACAGTGTGGCTGCTCTGTGCTTTAAGAAAAATATTGTTTCATTCTGAGAGTCTCTTACACACACTGGCTACTAGTTTCATTAATAGGTAATCAGTTCTTAGCTAATGCAACTAGTTTGCATCTGTTAATATTAATGTGTTTGAAATATATTATTGGTTCTGATTTATCTAGGTGACTTGTTCTTATAGACCTACATTGTATTAAAGCAAGAGGATTCTTTCTTATGTAAAATCTTTTTTTTTTTTTTTTTTTTTTTTAAACCAGAGCACTTTAAATCAGAGCATTAGATTACTGCAGAGGACATCATCTGAATTTATGGTAGGTTACTCTTTCTGGCAATAAGAACATATTTTATTTTTTTACTTTAAATGTACCCTTCCACAAGCATACAGGACATAACATTTGCAACATTTTTATTTTGCTAACTTTTTGGGGGCAGGAAGAGAGTGTAATACTTAGAGCTGGGGACCAGGGATGGAATCCACGAAGGTACTTGAGCAACTAAGTCACATTTTTAGGCACCACTGTGATCCATAAAACTCCTGCTTGCCTGACACCCAATCCTGTAGGTACCTAAACTCACGTGGCTCCCAAATTTTTACCTCTGGGCATGTGCACTGCAGCCTCACTGTAGGAGTCCGGACAGCTGTCTCTCACTTAAGCCTCAGAGCAGTTCACAAGCCCAGAAAAACAGGCATTAGGCTGCCTGTGTCATGTGTGAGGCCCGTCTGGTAGATCGCCTCTGAGACCCTTCTGGTGAGTTCACACAAAACCGTGTGGAGGAGGAGGAGACCTCCCTCAGAACATTTAAACCAGTGGTTAGGGAACTCACCTGGGATATAGGAGACACCCCCCCCCCCCCCCGCTTCAAGTTCCCCCTTCACCTTCTTCTCAGGTGAGTGCCCTAGCCACTAGGCTATTGTGATGGTGGTGCTCCCTCAGTCTCTCATTAAACAACCGAATAATTAAATATTAACTGGAGCAGTAAAGGAGTTGTTTTGTTTTGGGCTCCACATGCAACTTAGGCAGCCAAAACACCTGTCTTCCCCCGGTTCATGGATTGCCAGCAGAGATAGGCACCAGGCTTACCACTCACCATCTGGCTGGCACCTCCCCTGGGCTAGCTTAGTTAATACCCTGACTAGTGCACTGGCTTTGTGGATCACAGTCTAATGCACCTATGGCTCCCCATGCGTTGTGTAGGGAGCCAAGGGGTCTAACTCAGGCTTTGTGTATCAGTGTTGTTCCTGTGAATTCTGTTTTTTTTCTAGGCACCTAAATAGTTAGGCATTGTGACGCTCAGTGTTGTAATGTCCAAGTCCCTTTGCAGGTCTGAGTCTGAACCAAGGAGTCTGAAGCTCTGGGCGCTATTCTACAGAGCTCTAGGTGCCTTGGTTTCCTCATCTCTCTCATTTCCCCTTGTAAAGCACTTGATGTGCAAAGTTTCATTGATTTTATTGTTAATCTAGGTAGTTACAGTGCCCAGGAAGCAGCCACAAATCAAAAGACGCTTTGTGGCTATTTTTTAAACAGGCCATTGGAAAGTTTTAATTCTCACTTAGTAAAATAATTTCAGTACAATTTTACATGCTGTGGTTTTCCTGTTACTCAGCAGCTTGCTTTTACTCTGTCATTGAGGTAGGATTGCCTTACCTGTCCGTATGTAAAAAATAAAATAAAATTAGCCCACACGTATGCTTAATGAAATGAGCTCCACTGTCTTGTTAATGCTGGATGTCTCTTCCTCTGGCACAGTGTGTCCACCTTGTCCCCTTACTCACTCTTGCAATCTCGGCCAAACTGCAGGAAGCTTGAGCTTGACAGGGCTTCCCTAAGGCAGCCCACCTGCTTTCCTTCTCCATAGCAGCTAGTGCTTGCACAGCCAAGAGAGCAGCTGCCTTTATGCTCTGCTAGTCTCATGAGACTCAGCAACAGGGTGGAGAGTCCTTCTGGCAGCAGCTTTCCCTGTTACCACCAGCCTCTCTTGGCTCCTGTAGCAACAGTCCAGCCCCAGTAGCGCTAGTGCAGTTATGTCACCTTACCTGCTTCAGTTCTTCTTGCCACTTCTACACCCATGCATGGCAGCAAACCAGCTGCAGGAAATCCATTCAGAACTTGTATGTCCTGGACCTAGATGGGCAGGTAAGAGGGGCTGGTGAGAACGTGAGGTTGTTGTGGGGAAGGAACAGAAGGTTAGAAGCTTTTCTTAAATTCACCTACAGCATAAGGCTGTGAGTACATCATCCTTTCTGTGTATTGGGGAGCTATTGAGATTTTTTTATAATGAAAAGCTGTCAGGTTTAAAAAAAAAAAAAAAGGGGGGGGGGGGGCAAAATGTTTTAAGGACATTAACAGTCTACATTGTAGTCCACAGCTGAGAGATTGTTTGACCCTGTGCTTCCCTTCCACATGCATACTTCTGCCATGATACAGGGTGTGAAATTATTTTCTGAGGCAAGACTTTGCTTATCTTTACCTATATAGTGCATGGCTGTTATTGTGGGGATCCAGGTGGTGACGGAATGACCCAGGAGATGAGAGAATCCCTACTCATAAGGGAAGGAAAGAAAAGAAGGGTAACCTGTTCTAGAAGTACGAAAGAGAGTACAGCAAATTGCCTGCCTCTGGCAGTGGTGAGGGGGTCCATGTTGGTATAGAATGAATCCTTGTGCCTTAGGGGTGCCAGGATATTGTGGACCCACTGTTGCACTCACCATATTGAGAGAAACATTTTTCTCGGGACAGTGATATTTGTTTATCTATAGAAAGGACTAAAAATACAATACCAGCAGTGTCGTCATAGCAACTTTGGAAAGGTCTTAGCTATCTTATGTATGGTCTGTTTTTCAGGTAAAAGTAAGAAATGTGCTTAGTGCTGTTGATGCTGCTCAGTTTCTCATAAGCAACGATGCGTCACTGGTTATCATCCAGGTAAACTTTCTTCTGTTCAAATTAGTTTAATGAATTTATGGTGCAGTAGAGGTTTTATGTGAGGGATTGGTTGTTTGTTTATTTTTATTTTTTTAGGAAACCAAAAAGTACATGGATATGATAATAGGCTACTTCGAGCAATATGTTGAGTGGGTCAAGGAGTCGGTAAGTGCATTTACTACATTGAGGGAATTACCATAAAATACGACACAGCGTGTAAAGAATCTAAAAATGAAAGACTTATTCTGTTTAAAGTGTTTTTTATCATGTGTGTTCAGAATGGGGGAAAAGGGTAAACTGTTAGTGTGTTTACTATAAATGGAGTTTCATTATATTTAAAGTAGAATGGAAGCAATGAGTTGTTTCAGTGCATAGCAGTGTGCAAAATGCAGTTCTAATTACAGTGATGTTTCTCTAGGGTGCAAGTGGCCGAGATACCATTTGTACTTTTCTTGCACTGAGCCTGACTTTGTTTTATATTTTTGCTCACCCTTTTCTTAAAGAAAGGAAAAATAAATGCATAATTCTGTTGAGCAAAATAAGTTAATTCTTCAGGTGTGATTTGCACTCTGAGGATAGAATATATTGCAGGAATTTGCTTAGGGAGGGGGGAACACGCCCTTGGTAAATGACACATAAAGCTTGTACCGGGTATTGCAGGGTTTGGTTGTTTTTTTTAATGAATGACTTGAACAGTATTTTTAATCTTTGTAGATTACCATGGAGGTAGCCGCATGCAAGCCTATTGCCAACGTGATAGACACTGCAGTAGATATATTTTTATGCAGCTATGTAATTGATTCTGTGGTAAGAAATAATTCCCATTTTTCAAAACTAGGGCCTTAAATGAGGAATTCTTGCTTGTACTTCCACCAAACTGTGAACATAACTCTTTGCATTTCATCCTTTGACTAAAATGTTCTGATGAGGGAGCTTGTCTAAATCTGAGATTGGCCAAGGAGGAAGTGTTCTGATCTGGATTAGATTTAGTTAAAAGTATGGAGCTCAGGTCTGAAACCACTCCAAGGCTGGAGTTTCAATACATTCCCATGAGATTTTGTCCCATAATCACAGAAATCCTGCAAAATCCACTGTTCTTGTGAGATTTTGCCATCTTGAATATGAAAAGAGACCGATTCTCATTCTGGATCTGAACTTGAATCGGAACGGTTTTGGAGGAGGTTCTGTTTTGGGGAGTTGAACTCCCGTGAAATTCAAAGGGGAGCAGATCTGACATTCCAGCTTTGACCCATCTCTGCTCTGAGAATATAAGAATAATGAAAGTACTGAGGAAAAAATGTCCACAAACATCCTTGCTGGAATCTAGAAAATGTGAATGAGGAAAAGGAACTTTTTTCAGGTGGCGTGCAGAAAACAAATCTTGATTCATTCATGTACAGAGGAGAGCTTCATTATGGCTGGTAGTACCATGAGGTGCTATTTGGCATTTTCTCATCTCTCAGAGGATGAAAAGTTGGCTGTGTGTATTAAAAGAAACCACACATCTGTAAACCACCTAAAACTTCTCCCACCAATTCTTTCTTTTCCTCAATCAGTCCGAACCAAGCAATAATCAGAACTCGTATACAAGAACCACCTCTAATTTTCTGAAATCGAGTCTGAAGTGCCCTAATCCTACTAACACTAAATCCTGAAACCTGCTGTCCTGCCAGAGCCAAGTCAAAATCACCTAGCACCACAAAGGAACTGCAGAACCTCTCTTCCTTCCATCCTGCAGAAACTGAATAGGAAAAATACCACTCACCATTTCAGTTAGCTGTGGATGGGTCAAAATCTTACATGATGAAAGATCCCAGCTGGGCCCACATGCAAGTCAAAACTGCCTCCAGCCCATAGGAATCAGGTTTAAAATACCATTTTAACAGCTGGAGCCTGCTAATCTTTGCACTAATGAAATTACTGTCACAGTCGTGAACTGCAGCTGTCAAGTCAGAAACTACCTCTCAGGTGCTGAAAATTCAGCTTGCCACAGGGAGCGTGAATAAGGCTACTACTGTTAAATATCAAGGCAGGAAAAAAACATGGTTCATCTCTAGGGACACAGTATCTTCCAACTTGGAGTTGGTTGGTTGAGTAGTAATGTTCTGCTGATGGCACAACAACTAATAATTCATGGCTACCTCTCATTACAGGGTCCTGCAATGTCCTGGACCATGCCAGTGACTTCAGCTGTATGCTTTCAGAAACAACATAATTGACAATCAAGTAGTAATGAGGGCAGCAACTTTAGCTACTAAATAAAAGTCAATTTACAACTCAAGACTCTAAGGGGGGTCAGTTCTAAGAAATAATATGAGAAGAAACTAGCAGTGGTTTAAAACGCTGATACAGTATTTTATTGAATGTCATTTTCTTGATTTTTGTCTTCTAGAATACCTTCTGGTTTGGTTTGGGAGGCTGTTCAATATTTTTAATTCCTGCAATAATTTGTGCTATAAAACTATCCAAATACTATCGTAGAATGGATACAGAGGATGTGTATGATGAGTAAGTATATAATCTTAAATAGGCTAAAAAGAAAGTGGACACGAATACTTTCCTGCATAACACAGTATTTTACATGAAATATATGGTGCATTGTTTAAACCTTCACTATTGGCAAAATGAGTACCACAGTATCTTCTGAAAGAGTACAGGTATGGGCCCTGATACGTCAATATGTGCCACGTAGGTGGACTTCCATATCGTACATTGATTCAGTGGGGCTCTGTACAGGTGTAGAAGGGTCTGCCTATGAGAAGCTCTTTGCAGGTTAAGGGCTTTAGAACTTCTTACACCTTTATTTAAAAATATTCCCAATTTCGGGTAGATCATCTTTGCTCAATTATAGCATTAAGATAACTTGTACCTGCTTTGTAGTTTCCTTGTGTTAATTCTTTCCTTCTTTTGCTCAATATCCTGATTATCCCTAACCAGTCTTTCCTTTTCACTTGCAGTTCCTCTGTCTCAGGGACTTGGCATTTTACTTTATGATAACTGTTTTTACTTATTTTCATTTTGACTATTTTTTCCTATTTATTTTAGCTGTTGTTCAGTAAACCTGTGCACTTCGTTTTTTTCAGATCATTTTATTTCACACTGGTCAATTTACATTGTACATTCACAAATGAATAGAGCAGCAGCAAGACGTACTGCTAAGACAAATGTTCACTTACTAGTATGTTTTAAGTTGATTGCTTCTCCTTTTTTTATATTTTTTAGTGTTGAAACTATACCCATGAAAAAGTAAGATACTTTTACTGATATTTGTTAAAATTATTTTACTAAGGAGTGAGGGTTTATATTTTAAAAGTTTTTAAAAGAATTACAAATGTATTTTGGTTTAATTACATTTTATAATGTTAGGGTACAACTGAACACAAATATCTCCATTAAATAATTGAAAATTGGAGCATGCTAAAATAAGACTTCATAGAAGTATTTGATATTATACAGTATCAGTATGGTTGAAAATTAAAGAATATTGTCTACTGAACAGACCCAACTTATTTTTACATACAATACCATCATCCATTTACATGTCTTTGTAGCCATTTTGTACATATTGCATCTTATAGTTAACATAGTCTTTTTTGGTGTATTTATTTTGTTACAGTATGGAAAATGGTAATAATGGTTATCATAAAGAGCATTTATATGGTATACACAATCCTGTTATGACAAGGTAAACCAAGTCTGAAACTGCATGCCTTCACGTTTCCTTGTTTAGCGTACTATGCTAATTAGCTATCCAATTTTCTGCATGTTTTAAAGTGAATAGTGTGGAAGCAGAGAGTTATTCTCCGACAATAGTTTAATTTTCTATTTGCTTTTTGCATGGTTGCTCACTATAACAAGTACTGTATGTTTAATTTTTTTGAATATGCCTACATAGCCATAGATATTGTAATAGTATCCAATCATTTAACTATGGAATTTTGTAAGCTTAAAAGCCACATAATTCCATATTACTTCTCTGATATGGTGGCCCTAAAATGGTAAAGTTATTAAAGTACTCTGTATAGAAATTAAAAGGCTGTGGGGTGCATGTTCACTTTTTCCTGGTTTTTTTTTCCTTCATGCTTATAAAAAGGTCTGTAGGACCAATTATAAATTGATACCTAATAAATGCCACTTTGACTGTAACCTGGGGCATTAATAGATGATTCCTTTTTAAATTCTAGTTTGGTTTTTAGAATTTTTTTCATGCGAATGCATAGAAGTAGGCTACATAGAACAAGCAGGACTAGAGATTTGAAAGATAAGAAACAAAAAAATCTCATATTTTACAAAAGCAATGAGTAGCTACAGTAACCTCTCAAATTAACGTAATGTTTAATTGCTCCAACCTGTGCCTTTGGTGCAGCTCTTTAAACATCTGAAGAAAGGCAAAGTTTGCTATGTGCAGGCTGCAAGTGGGCCAGGGGGATGGAAGGGGTAGCGGGGAAGATGGATGTTACTGCACCTCTGAAATTAGTCTAATCCTATATGACCAAATAGTTAAGTCACAAGTCTGGAAGATGGGAGTTGCGTGGTCTTCTCCTGTCTCTGCGGCTCACTTGCTATGAGACACTGGCAAGTCACTTAACCTCAGTGCCTTGGATTCCCATTCCATAAACCTGGGATGATGCAATCCACCTCACAGGACTGTAGTGAGATTTCAGTAGGCTTTGTAACATACTTCTGAGTTCCTTGAATGAGAAGCTATATAAATAATTCACAAAGATAAGGAATAGTGAGCCACATAACTTTTTTTTTTATATAGAACACATTTAGATTGAATGTTTGGTAGAGAATTAATTTTTATTGCTCTCTGGGTCATGGATGGGGTGTTCTATGTTGATGGGGCTTGAAGTCGAAATTTTTGACAGCCCTCAGGGCCGTATCAGTTGAGTAAAAGTCTATTTTGCATTGATTATTTTATTAACCAAGTATCTTCCCTATGCTTCCTTTAGGAGGAAGTATTTCATAACAGTGGTATTAGTTAGGGTGACCAGATAGCAACTGTGAAAAATCAGGACGGGGTGGGGGCTAATAGGCGCCTATATAAGAAAAAGTCCCAAAAAACGGGACTGTCCCGATAAAAACGGGACATCTGGTCACCCTAGTATTAGTGGTGTTATAATGTTCATTATTTTGGCATAGCCTATATAACACTGTAGGCTTTTGGGACTCCTTAAATTAATCTATAAGGTATTTGACTCCAGAGTCAACTCCACTGGCACATCAGAGAACTTCCACATTAAAGACTTTTTTGTTATTTTCCGTAAGAGGGAACCAATAATCGTCCAGACTTTAGAGTCACTTTCTGATCTTTGGACTTTTTTAACATTGATTTTCAATGTTCTTGAGCTGTATGGCACATTATTTGTGTGGTATTTCAAAAAAAATTTTATAAGGAAATCCTTGTTCAATGGCTGAATATACAAGATATTTGGAAATAAGCCAAAAATCATTAACATAAAAAATACTCTGTTAAATGAAAGCACACTAGCTTTCCACATGGACACAAACATATTAAGGACTAGATTCTGATTTCAGTTGTCCTACTGTCAGTGAACTTTCTCTGGATTGCCCTTCTCCCTGTCCCCTCCCCCCCATAACTAACATTAGAATTTACTCTAAACTGCTGCTTCTTTTTGATGATTTCATACCTGAGACACAGTTTGGAAAAACTGGATCAGGGCTACCACAATCCAGGGATACCACTCTAGTAGATTCTTGTTTTCTGTTCTTAACTGCACCATTTTCATGTTTTCTGCTACCCTACTTTTTCTCAGTTCCTACAGATCTTTTTAGTTGGCTGTAAGTATTTGTAGCATCTTTTGAGTGAGATTGTTAGCAGTGAAACCATATCCTTTTAAAGTGACAGGAATAGGAAGCCTCCCCTTTTGCACCTGCAGTGTTATGGATGCAAGTAATTGCAGGTTGCAGTTGCATTTAGAAATCTACCTGATTATTTTCCCCCGATCAGGTAGTTAGAGAGATAAATAAAAATCAAATGCATCTATAGTTATTTGTGAGAGCAAAATGGGAGGTTGGGTTAAGACCTTTTCTAACTCAGGTCTATGGTGTTTGATTATCTGAGCATTTCCTTCCACCCCAAAACAAGTCTTAAAAATAAATTAAACCAATTTTCTCTAATTAAAAACTTCAATAACTGGCAAGAAGACTCAGGACTTATTTATATAGCACTAATAGGTTTCAGACCCAGGGATAACTGGTCACACTATTGACAGCTGACAGTGCCATGCACTGTAGTTATGAAGTCAGTTTATTCAGTTCTTTTGTTAGCAACAGAAAAATATATTTCTGTGTTCTCTTTAGCTCTGTGGAACAGTGGTAGCCAATACTGGAAACATCAGGGGTAAGTAATGAGCTTTTAAAATTTATTTCAGCACATCCTCCCATTTTAAAATCTGCTTCTTAAAATGTAAAAGAACAAAGGCTTGTACACTTATAATAGCATGATTGTTGGTAAGGTAAAGAAGTTTATCTGTTGACACACCCATGACTTTCACATGAAGACCATGTATTTATAGTGTTCTATCTAAATTATATTGCTACCTTAATCAATTTTTTACTGATTCTTTTTCTTGTGATCTATTTTCAGCCTATAGAAATGAGGCTCAAGATTCTTCTACAGGAAACATGAAATTCTTCCAACCACACTGGGATCTGAATTCACCATCCAAATCCCATGCCACTTGTTCTATGTGGCTTGTACAGTAAATCAGTCTTGAATCAAGAAAACAGTGTTTAATGTTATGTCATTAACTATTGTACAAAATACCAGAGCACTTCCTCTTGTTCACTACTGTTTAAGACTTGAACTATAGTGGTTTCTGTTTTTTACTTTTTTTACACTGGGGTTTCTATTTCACATCACAGTACGTATATTAATGTGGCTTACACAGATTTTGCTTAAAATTAACTGCCCTACCATGATTACTCAAGTTCTTACCTTACCGTTTTGTTGGGAATGTGTTAAATACAGTATATACACATTTGCATAAATAATACATTTTGTATACAGAGTCTCTTGTATATACATTTTCTTAAAGCTTAAAAGTGTTTTAGCTAAATTTTTGATATTGTATAATGTACTTCACAGAGGAATTTATCAGCATGTTCAGTGTTGACTTTTGGTGCTCTTGGACGACCACTTTGGACTGAACTTTAAATGTACAGGATATGCAGTATCTCCTGTCTCTGAAAAATTAATTCAGTTGAAGGTTTTTCTCCCTTTTTTTGAGTTACTTAAAAATCATCATGTATTAAGTATTAGATCTAAAAGGGTATTTGCAGACAGACTCATTTAAAATTACAACTTTTATGTATGTGGCAGGGTATGGAGCTCCCTGGAGTTTGAGTGATGCTCTAATTAGACCATGAGAGATGTCATAAAGTTGGTAATTTTTAGAATACTTCATCTCCAGACCAAGTTCCTAATAAATGTCAGTGGTTCTCTAAACAGGCAGTGGTTATTTTTGCTAACTAATTTTTAAATTAAACTTTCTACACAGGAATTTGAACACTTTTAGAAGGTTGTTTTACATCACTGTAGTTTAGTGTATTGCCTTGAATTTAGACATGGCAGTTGTGCTGCTGGATTATGAGACATCGTAAATCCGCTTAAAGGACTGTAAAGGTCTACACTACAAAAATAAAGCACAGGGGATAGGAAAGATGGAAGAATTGGGTATCTTGAACTGAAGAGCAAACTGATTATATACCAATATTAACTATGTTTCCAGAAAGGTTCATTTGGCTTAAAATAACGATAATTCCAAAAACCTTTGAAAACATAAAACAAAACAAAACTGAACAGCAATACCAGTTTTATGTGGAATAACATTGTACGTTTTTCACTCTTTGGTCAGAAATGGAAATGTTTCGATGTGATAATATGTAGCGTGCGTGTGCGTGTGCGTGTTCAGAATTGTAGAATTTAAAAAGTTTATTTTTTAATTTGAGAAAAATTTCCCAATCCATTTAAATAAACAAAAACTTGGTTAAGTAATCTCTATTTGATTCATAAATCACTATTTTATTTCATTTTAAGTGTGTTTGAGAAGTGTAGGAGGCACACTGGGTTAAGATATGGGCTAAGATCACATTGGAAAATGGGTTTTGTCCTCCTTACAAAAACTGATGTACTGTTGGACTTCATTGACAATATTGGCTCCAAGCAAGATGAGAAATCCAGAAATAGAATGAGAGGTATTGGATTACATTGATGAACCTGTGTGGGGAAGCTCATAAACCCCCTGGCCACACTGGGTATGTCTACACAGCAAAGAAAAACCCACTGCTGGCCCATGCCAGCTGACTTGGGCTGCAGGGCTGTTTCATTGCTGTGTAAACTTCTGGGCTCAGGCTGAAGCCCGGGCTCTGGGATCCTGCGTGGTGGGAGGATCCCAAAACTCGGCCTCCGGCCTAAATCGACACAGCAATGAAGCAGCCCAAGACCTGTGAGCCCAAGTCGGCTGGCACGGGCCAGTCATGGGGTTTTCTTTGCTATGTAGACATACCCAGTGTGTCCTAAACTCTTTCCTTAGTTAAGGAATGTGCTGTTGATTTTCCACAGTATTCCATGTTTCCAGTATTGGCACAATGAAATATAAAAGCCACATGCATGCCAGTGCACATCCACAAAAAACATAAGGGTACCACAAATCCATTTTTATTAATTGAATAATTTTTAATCTTCTAGACAAAACCTCATAGGTTTGATTTGGCTGACCTTCTTGTGACTACTTCCATGTGGTCATACAATATCTGGCATAAAGACAGCTATAAAATAGCGGGAGAGTGGAAAATATCTGTTAAAATCAAAGCTGATGTGTGCATTTTGGGTAGGAATGTGCTTTTAAGTTATACAACTATCGTGCTCTATTTAGCTGCAAGATGCGTCTTGTTACCTTCTTGGGAGTTCACAGGTTATTTGACATTCCCTTGAGCTATAAATTATAGGCATATGCTTACACTAGGGTGGTTTATTTAAAAAAAAAAAAAATACAGGCCACCTCGAGAGAGAGAGAGACTTCTTTGTGCACGAAACCTTTAAATTGTGAGCAGACAGTTGCTTGTTTCTTTTGCTTTTTTGGACTGAGTTGCTTCAGGATCTTAGTCTGTGTTTCACCATGAAGACTGTCATCCTTCTTCTAATGATGGTCTGTTGCATGGGAGGATTGGGACAGAAACAGACACAAAAGAAAAGGAGCAATGGTGAAGAAATCCATTTTCAGACTAAAGTCAAAGACGCTTGCACAATGAACATGAGTGGTAATGGGGAAATGAAACTCAGAATTGAATGCAAAAACCAAGGAAAGTCTTACTGGTGTGAATATACTGGCAAACCATCAATTTGTCGTCCTTTCAATAACAACCCAAAGGTTTATTGGAACCAGATTGCCCTTGAACTTAGAAAACTCCCAAACGCTTGCCAGTCCACCCTAGTGCTGAAGCCCAGCATGTGCCAAAAGGCTCCCACAGATGCTCACATGAAGCAAGTAGCTTCCAGCATGAAGCCAAACCAGAATCCTAGCCAGCAAGCAGATACAGCCAATCAGGGGAAATCAATCCAGAAACCCTCAGCTTCTCTAAAGCAAGTTAAAGAAACCCAGGTAGGGAAAAGCTCTGCCAAAAAAGCAGGGAGACCTAAACCATCTACACTACCTCTTGTAAAACCAACACAGCGCGGACAAGGGTCTGAAAATGATACCGAAGTAATGAAGTTGGCACGAGAGCACTGCTGGGAATCACTGCACACTTTCTGCTCCTACATCATCAGCATCTTTAAAGGTTAAGAATTGCTTCAGGTAAAGCTCCCTCTTCAATAATATACAGCCATAACAGAATCTCTTCAAGTCGTTTTTTTTTTTTTTTTTTTAAATTAAGCTCAGAGCTCTTTAAAGGATATAGATAGGGGTAGTATATTGTGTAATTAATTCAGAAACTATCAGATAGGAAGAATTTGTTCACCTTGAAGATTTAAACTCGTTGACTGTTAAGTGATTTAGGGCCTAATCCCATGAGGTGTTGAACAGCATAATCTCCCATTTGAAGTCAATAGGAGTCAGGGGACCCTAGTACCCCTCAAGAATGGGCCTTTAGTAAGAATTAAAACAGAGTGCCTGCTGTCTTAGTTAATAATAAATAGTACTATTTTCCGAATTACTTTCCCGTATACTTCTGTGTGTGATACAATTCTTAACCCAGAAGCTCATCAATTCCACTTGTATAAACTGGATTTATTTTTCCCCCAAAATGCATGCTGCTTTGATTAAAAAATTATGCCATCTGATTAGTTTAAATGTATTGCATGCATCTAAAAGCACAATTTAGAGAAAGAGACATTCAAATTCTGAGAACACAAGGTTAACCAAAACTACTCATTAATATTAACTTTTAAACTATTTTATGGAGTTTAGAAAAGTTACTTAATTTACATACATAAACCAAAACAGACAATTCTTTGAATATTTCTCATGGAAATGAGAGGTGATTACATGCTAAATCTTTGCTGCTATAGTTTGGGCGTAAAGACAAAGCCGTCACAGAAGTAATCAGAGTTGTACCACTTACATTTTACCTTAGAGACTACCAACAGCTGGCTACAAAACCTGACAAACTTTCCACAGGAATGGAAATGTGTACAGCCGGAGACAGAAAGTTAGTTAATTTTAGGTGTGCTTAGACTGCTGAAGATCCCAACTGTGCTTAATAAGGCAAATTGCTAAATGACTAATTTTTATTTTCTTTTTTTATTTTGCAGAACAAATTTCTTACAGCTGAAGAGTTCCCTACTGGAGTTTCTGTTTAATACTCTTTTAGACTAAGTTTCAAAATGGTACCATAGCTATAAATCTTGTAGTTACTTTTTTTCCTTTGCACTTCTAAAATTAAACCATTTTAACAAGTTTTCAAGGCAATCACCAAAGATGCATGAAATTGGAATGATTGTACTGAAATTATTAAGATAAATTCTCCTAGATAAATTCTTTGATTCTTCTAGGTATAGATATAATATATAGGAACATGACTGCATTTAATCTGAGATGCCAGGTTAACTTGGTTTTAAAGTGCTGTACTTTGCTACATTTTACTATTTGTGCAACTTTATTTTAATGAGCATTTATAGAGAGATGAAAGCTGTAAATAATGCTCCAGTTTATGCAACCAATAAAAGAATGATTTTTGAAAATGTCCTTGTGTGTTTTGCTGCAATCTGTGTCTAAACAGTGATTTACATAATATCAATGCCAGTGTCTGAGGACTGGGTTAGATATCTGGGGAGGAGGAAACCACAGATCTCAGAATGAGGTGGCAAGTGCTTGCCCATGCTATGATGCTGAGAAACTTCAGTTGCAAAAACTGAATGGAAAAATTAAAGTATAAATATAGTCCAAAATAGAATATAAAACAGAGGCAGCCCACAGAATGATGCTTTTTTTTTTTTTTAATTCATTGCTATTATGAACATGTAATGAATAATCTTCACTTGTTCTTGACTCCAAATGCTGAACTTGCAGGAAGGATTTGGAAAGGGATAATGGAATATTCAGCTTCTCGCAAACGTACAGGTCTGTGCACTTGCAAAATTACACATTACTTCCACGCAAACATCAATGTCAAAAACCCAGCCAAATGCTGAAAGCATTAATTTGTCTTCATTTTCGGCTATTAGAATTTACAAAACACATTACTCTATTATTAGTCCTCTGAAATAGTTTTTAACAAGTACCCCACTTTGCCCTGGTCCCCTACGTGAGTCTGAGAGAGACAACTGGAAAAGCGGATAAGCTTTGTTTCATACCCGGATTCTGCAAATATTTAGCCTCTTGTGCAACTTTACCTGAGCACTTCCACAAATGTGTCTTATGCTGAAATGCTAACTAATGTTTCAGGGGAGAGTTTTGGAGAGAGAAAAACAAGTGACAAAATTGAGAGAGAATCCTTAATAGTACAGGATTAGTACAGTAGCAAGTACACAGAAGGAGGAAAATATTTGCCAAATAGTTTGATGTAAATGCATGTGCCAGATCTGAACTCTGATAAAACAGGTGCTCAAGGAAGCTTACATTTGATCTCCGTTATAAAGTTAACGTTGTAACTATCACCAGTAATTTCAGTTATCTTTCCTAGCTTTCTGCTTCCTGTGAGGGGCGTTCTGATATGTACCTCCAAACATGGGGAGAGGTGAATGCAGTTTTATATCCAATTCTCAAACTGTTTTATTGCCTATTACTCGGTGTTTGAGCCACCATACAGAGCAATCTTTTAGGAGAATAGACTTATAAATATATAAGTAAACTCTGGTAAGAAACAAAACATGATCTTTTAAAGAGAATTAGGCTGCAGTGTGTTTATCATATTTTAAAACTTTTTTTGGAGACTGCACAGGGCTGCTTGTACTCAAACA